CCGGCGTGCGAAACGAGGAGCGTTCGTTTTTCGCACGGCCCCACGGAGTGGCACTTAGCTGCGAGCATGCGATGTGACGATTGCTCGCGAAGCGCTCGCACAAACGCTCTGCAGCGGCGAGCCCTGGTTGTGCCTCAAAGGGCCATTAAATCTCCCGGTGCATTGAGGCAACGTTCACAACTGCGCTGAGGCAGAAGCCAGTTAAACTGAGAATTCAAGAGAACAGGAGAGGCTCATTTGCAAGAGTTATCTGGGGCATTAGTCCGACAGTAGGGGCAACAATCGTGTAAAATTAATTGAGTGACTTGGAGGTGACTTTCAAATTTGACAAATTTAGACCCTGATGTCGACACACAACGACCTGCTCTTGTGAACGATGCCACGGGATCTTGAATGACCACTGCGAAACTGACGGCGCGTATTTGTACGGTGAATACACCTGCAGTATCAGTCGGGGGATCCGCTGGATTCGAATCGCAAAACCTCTGCAACGAGCGGAGGCGAAGCCACGTCGCGCCAGTGGTGTGGCCCTCGAGTGTGAAGGCGATGCAACTGCAACAAGGGCCCGTGGGCCGCAGGGGCCTAGGCGCTGAATTGCAAAATAATTATGAAAGTGGACAGGGCGCGGGGGGCATTTCATTCCTTGCACCCAGGTGCATGCCAAGCACCCTGGGCCAACTGGCAGAGGAGTTGAGCTGTTTCAGTCTGTGGGCTTCAGAGCCTGCAAAGTGCGTTTTGTTCACCCAGTCGGCGAAGACATTGGCTAAAGTTTGCCGACAAGAAAACCGCTCGGGAGTCGGTCAATTCGTGTGAAGAATTGAAAAAGTGAGGAGTAATTAAGAGTGCAGGTAGCCGGAGTGAGTGCAGTGCGATACACAGGTGGGGCAAGCCAGGACACGTGACCGTGAAACTCGTACACGTCGCCGTAATTCTTGAGTTGCGAATGGTGGCAAGGTTTAAATTAGAAGCAGATCAATCTTGATGGGATCTTGTGATGCCAATTTATTTTCTCCCGCCTGGACTCCCCCCCCCCCCCCTGAAGTCTTCTTGTCAAACACATTTTCCATGATTTTTTGTATTTTAGTTTGGAGTGAAACATATTTTTGGCTGGTACGTTCTGTTCTTTTGTTGTTTTTTACATCTGTCTGTTTACCCATCGAAAAAGTTGAAAGTTGATTCTAGATAGCATCACATTTAAAAAAGAAATGTTCAACCGTTAGCATTTTGCCATGCATGTGCATGATTTGTGGCCTACGGGACTGCTTTTAAACTTAATTTTAGGGAAATGGTTATTATTTTTGTTCGACTATGAAGTGTAATAATCTAGAATCGGATGTAACAGCGGTGGCTTATTGCTTACCATGCTTCGCTGCGAATCCAGCGACCCGAATTCCAATTTCACGGCCACGGCGAACATCAGTGCCGAGTGATAACACTTTACCCCACCATACACGACCTTACAATGAACTGTGCCGTGCCCCTTTATACTCTACAGGTATCCCTCAATTTACTAAAGGGATGCGTTCTTTAAAAAAAAATCTAAATTCCCCACCTGTCCTCAGGCCACGGGCACGCTTTGCTGTGTCGCTGAACGTATATATCCTGAACCCCTTTCCCACCGTATGTAGCTGACCGTGCCAAGCGTGCTTCGTGGGTGAGCTGAAGCGAAATTGATTGGGCCCTTAATTTGAAATCACAAACAAACACAAACCTTTATTTAATTCCGTGTTGCGTGCGCGAGTTTTCGAGAAATGCAAACGTCATGGGGCACGGGAGAGCCCTCGTCACTGTCTGTGGCACCGACCTGTGGCGGGTCTACATTCCACATTTCTATGGCAGGAGCAGGTCTATCTGAAGCAGAACATCTGCTGTGCTCCACCACGTGGTGCAGTCTCACCAGTGTAGGGCTGGTTTTACTCGGACCAAGATGATGATGGTGGTGGTGATGATGATTGCGATGACTAGAATACTGCTGATTGCTGATCATTGCACTGATCTTTGATGATGATGATGATAATGTTGATCATTAAGGTTGTGAAGATCATGCTGATAATGCTGCTGATTATGATTGACTTTAGATGATGTTGTATGTATGTTGAACTTCTTTCGCACCGTACGTAGCCAACCCTGATGCTGATGTTCATGGCGGTTATGAGACTCGTGATCAATGTGTATGATGATCCTGTTTCCGGTGATGAAGATGCTCTTCCTGACTATGATGATGCTACTTCATCTGATTGCGATGCCAAAGTTGCTGATGATGATTCTGCTGATTGTGATTATGTTGTTGCTGCTGCTGACGATGATGATGATTAAGTATGAGGATAATGTTGATGGCATCAACTCAGGCTGGGCATGCAACACGTTGTCTCACAACTATGAGCCGTGTTGCGTTGCCAACCGAGTTTTTACCCCAGCCGCAAACCGCATAACTGAATAAACGCGTCACCTTGTGTACACACATTCTTTTTTTCATGTTACTTCACAGCAACTCATTTAAGTTGGAACAAAATGTATAGTGGGACATCATGTCCCAGACTTGAGCATCCATAAACAAGTAATTGCAATGCCTTCTCCCTTGGACTTTTAAAGTAACCACTTCCATGGTAATTGCATTTAGGCAACAAATCAGACATGTCATTGGCTTATCAGGGTCGGTTGTTTACTGGTGGTGTAAACAAAGCATGAGGAGGATGCGGCAGTGGGCGGAGGAGGCTATTTTGAGTGAAGTGATGATGACCCCTGTTCTGGATTCGTGTTGTGACCAGCAGCTCTAAAATAGTGTTTGCGACTCCAGACATTTTGGACGAGAAAATAGAAACAACAACAACAACAACGATATATTTTTTATATTTTTTAAACAGGAATGTTGTTCACCATGTGAATTCGGTGTCTGCGGTGGTAAGCGCGCCGCACTACGAACCCAGCGACCCGCGTTCGACTCCCACTCACAGCCAACATCGGTGACGAATATCTGAGCCGCTCCTAGGCCTCCCCCTAGGTTGACTCAGCCTTGAAAAATGAGTACCAGAACTGGGGAGAAGAAGGTGACCGGGCGTGGTCCCTGGCCACCCACCCCCTCATTGTGCAGTGTCAGACTTCATATCGGCCGCTCGTTACGAGCACTTTCCCCAAGAGTCTGTTAAAGGCTATATTGAGGATCTTTGTTTTGTGTGAGGAGGAGGAAGGGGGGAGAGTGGGCAGTGCCTCACATTGTATTCCTTTGCCCCAGGGCCCATGCCAACCGCGCTCAGCTGCTCTGAGATCTCGGCGGGATTTGGCCAACGTTCACGTGTGACGGTTACAGTGATGTCGTCGTTTCATTGAGGAGGAGGAGGGCTTTCACCGAGTCTTCTTCATCTGGATATATCCCGCATCGGAATATCGGGCCCAATTGTCTAATTGTTTTTGTTTAGGGACGTCGTTCACGTGTGATGTCGCCGCCGCTTACGAACAACGGACCAGTGTCTTTAATTCCACCCCCCCCCCCCTTCTCTGTCCACTCAGCAATGTAATTGGGTCATGGAGGACCTCGCTTGCCAGTATATAAATATATATAACAATAGCTTTTACCCTTTCTGGCAACAAAACAGGAGGTGTTACGATGTTAAAACAACCAAACAGAAACCTTTTCCCAAGGAATCATGTCCGCATTAACCGCACGTACTCGTGGTGAGTATGCAAACAAATCCGTTTAAAAGGCAATGCCACATATACTACCAGAGCACGTGCTTTTGTTTGCATGTTCGCCACGAGTACATGCGGTTAATGCGGACATGATTCTTTGGGACAAGGTGTCTGTTTGGTGTTTTAACATCGTAACACCTCCTGTTTTGTTGCCAGAAAGGGTAAAACCAATTCTTCTCGTGAAAGTGGGGCTCACCGTAGTTAGTCGACCGGCGGGCATGTCGTGTATGGTGGGGTCACGTGTGTGTAGGCCCTCCCCTTCCAAGATGTCTGCCCATCGTGGAAGAGGAGGCCAAAAGTACGAAGCATGGGTTGCCTTCATCTATGTTACCTTGTTACCGCGTACATTACCTGGAGGGGCTTCGTGGAGCTCCCCGTTAGTGACGAGGCCCTTTTCACCAGCAGTGCCACGAGTGAGCAATTGCAGGCCTGCACATTTTACCTTTTAAGAACATCCGAGGAAACATTTGACCCTAATTTTGGCGCAAGCAAACGCGTGCATAAGTTGTTGAGAAGGATGCTTTCAACGTCTGTACATCCTGATCCCAACGGGACACACGACGATGTACAGATGTCATGCTACACTGGCAGATTGTTTTCCTTAGTGATGCTGTTGTTTATTATGCTGCTTTTGCACAACTGAGTCCCAATCAGCAGGTACAATCGGTACAACTGCTGTGCATTTGCATCTGCATTGTCTTCTGTGTGTGTAGGGGTGGGTATAGAGGGAGCGGTATTGGGGAGTGGCAGTGCTTTGGTTACCGCGCTGAATTACGAACCCAGCAACCCGAGTTCGATTCAGGCTCATGGCCAACACCAGTGATGATTATTTGAACGTTTAGGTCGACTCAGCCTCAAATTAGTACCTGGTGTGGTGTGTGAACATCGCCACTAGGGAGACAAAGGCGGCCGGGCGTGGAATTGGCCACCCACCTCCTCGTGTACCGTGCCGACCTTCATAGCTGCTACTTGCTAATTGCACTTTCCCCAACAGTCTGTCGAGGTTATACGGGAGGATCTTTGTCGAGGTGGAGAGCGGTTACCAAAGTAAATTAGCCCACTGCGCTACGAACTCGGCGACCTAAGTTCGATTCCAGGCCGTGCAGGACATTGCCAGCAAATATCCTCACCAGTCCTGATCCTCCACTTGGCTCATTCAATTCTTAGACAGGTAACTGGAGCAACGTGTCAACATCGGTACTGGGGGCGCTCACTAAGAACACTTTGCCCCAACAGTCTGCGCAGACTACACGGCGGTGGCGGCGGGGGATCTTTATCTTCATGAGTGTGTGTGTGTCCGTGTTTGCCGACAGGAACCCAGGAAAAAGCGCGTTCGACCCTTGTCCCGCGTGGCTTCCCTGGTCAGCCTGATCTCGCCCGTCAAATCCACCTCCATCAAGCGCCTTGGGCAGACCCTGCAGGTAAACCCGTGGTTGATGATGGCCTCTGATCGCCAGCGTTGCTTTATTCATGTCGAGGTTGGTGAGCGAGGAGTGAGCAGGTGGATGGCCTCTGTGATAAGGATCTGAAATGCTGCTGCAGGTGAACGATATAAGCGTGGTAGTGGTGCTACTGTGTGGTCCACGGTTTGAGATGTGTGCTCACATGGAGTTTCATTGACTCGCATGGAATCCAATAGATTCACAGAGACTTGCATCAAAACAAACCCATTGACTTGTGTAGAGAACCAGAGATTCACATATAAACCCACATACATAGACAGCCATAGACTCACATCGAGATCCGCAGACTCGCATAGCACGGTTGGCTACGTGTGGTGCGAAAGAAGTTCAACATACAACGAGACCGACGGGACTTAAATGGTGGGGAATTGATGAGCTGCGTTTATTTATACTTTGTACGTCGAGGTTGGTGAGCGAGCCAGCGGACGGCTTCAGGAGTGGCCCGATGATGAATATCTGAAACTCTGCTGCCAAGGATTAACGGAAGCTGGCACTGGATCCACTTACGTGGCCTCACGGTTTGAGATCCCGGCGGATGTAGAGAGACCCAGGGAGATAAACGAAGGCAGTGGGCAATGGTTGTTACCGCGTGGGCCACGGCGAGAGCCTTGGCGACCGTGTGAGCAGCAGGGCCTGGGAGTCGCTCGCGAACCCCGCTGCCGAATGTGTGCCCACGCCCTTCAAAAAGGTAGCCCTTTCAATGAGCACGCAGGCGGGCAATGCGTGGACGTTGCTCTCTCCCTCTCTCTCCTCTCTCTCCTGAGGTTGTGTGAGGTTAGTGCCGTAGGATTTTGTAGCGAAGCACCCGGCGCATAATGGGCGTCTCGTGCGTGACTCTGGTGCTGGGGGGTACACACCGACGACACGTGGAAAGCTGACGCTGGCGTTTCACTGGATCACACATATGAGTGGGTTTCATTGAGAAAAAAATAACTTGATAGCCCGCATATATAAGAAGGTAATATAAATTAAGGTAACTCATTTTGGCTTAATGTAAACAATTTATAAAAAATATTTTCTATTGTTTTTTCTCCCATAATCTCCCCATAATTAACTTCATAATGCTCTTTTTTTACATCCACTTACATCTGCTTATTTTTGATAAAAGCCGACGCACGCACACACAAAGTCTCATACATACACAGTCTCATATATACACACCCTCATACACACACAGTCTCATACACACACAGACTCATATATACAAAGACAAAGATCCCCCGTATAGCTTTAACAGACTGTAGGGGCAAGTGCTGTTTGCGAGCACCTATGAAGGCCGGAACGATACACGAGGGGGTGGGTGGCCAGCACCACGCCCGACCGCCTTTGTCTCCCCAGTGACGATGTTTACACACCACACCAGGTACTCATTCAGGCTGAGTCGACCGAGGGGAGGCCCAGGACCGGTTCAGATAATCGTCACTGGTGTTGGCCATATTTTTGATAAAAGCCGACGCACGCACACACAAAGTCTCATACATACACAGTCTCATATATACACACACACTCATACACACAGTCTCATACACACACAGTCTCATATATACACACCCTCATACACACACAGTCTCATACACACACAGACTCATGCACACAACAAAGACAAAGATCCCCTATATAGCCTGTAACAGACTGTTGAGGCAAGTGCTGTTAGTGAGCGAGCGCCTCTGAAGATCGGAACGGCACACGAAGGGGTGGGTGGACAGCACCAGACAGTCACACATTTAACACTTTCGCACAGTGTGTGACACATTCACACAGTCGCTCTCTCTCTGACACACACACACAGGCCTCATCACAGTTGGGCTCTGTGTGTCCCACAGCGTCAGGGTTTGTAGGACCCACAGTGCCACGTGGTGCCGAAGATGCCTGTGGAACGCATTGACCCGATCCCCCCCCCCGCCCCCCATGGCTCCCCTCTCTGAGTGCGACACTTTGATCCCTGCAAGCACCACAGGCTGTTGCTTCGAAAGAAACAAAACACACGTCACAACTGGAAAGCAATTGCTAAGCGACAATAATGAACAACTCTACATAAGTATTTCCCACATTGTCGTCGTTGTCATCGTCGGCCATGGTCAATCCACTGCTGGATGAAGGGCGCCACCAAGCCGTCGCTGGCTCTCACGATCCCGCACGCGAGCCAGATTCGTCATCGTTCCGTCTCCTCCGTGGACGCGCTCTCGGACGCGTTCCACTCCTTGGCTGCCCCCCGCCCCTCGTCAACGTTCTTGACCAATGGCCATCACCCCTTCTCGCGATGTTTTCAGCTCGAGCCCCGCGAACTTTCCTAATATCTTTAACCGGCTTGCGTTCTCTCATCCGTGTGTTATTCCTTCTGCCTCTTGGCTATAATTCCAACCGTGCAAATGTCCACATGTACGGTACACAATAATTAGAATGTGCGGCCCTTTGCAAATCCACTGCTGTATGAAGGCATCCCCATACCGTGGTAGTCTTGGGGATTGTGTCACCTTGCCTCACCACGCTGATTAGTGCGGGTTGGTGAAGTGGTGGGAGGAATAGGGTTGGGTGGGACCCATACAGAGGCCGGTTCAGATATGACACGCCACTGATGACGGCCGTGGCCAGAAATTGAACCTCAGAATGTTCCAGCAGGTTCATAGCGCAGTGCGCAGACCGATATCATTGTGTCCCCAGCCTGAAGCGCACACACGCAGTCAGTTACACGGCCGCGGGATTGATTGCCACGACCATCCTTGCGTTTGAAGTTCAAGTATCAACCATTTTTCGATGTCATTCATCATCTCACACTCGATCTGGTAGAAATGCTAAGATGTACATTTGTTAACGTTTATTGATTGATACGTATTGTTTCAGAGAGCAGCTAATGACACACACACACATGCATACATGTGTAAAGTCAAAGATCCCCCATGTAGCCTTTACCAGATGGTTGGGCCAAGTGCTGTTAGCGAGCACCTATTCAGGCCCAGCGTTGCACAACGGGTGGTAAGTGTGGCCAGCGCCGCGCCCAGTGCCGATGCATGAAACACTGCACCGTGCTCTCGTTTACGGCCGAGTTAACCTAGGGGGGGACGCCTGGGGAAAGGTTCAGAAATCGCTCACAACGAATGTTGTTGCATGAGCCAGGAGTAGACACTTGCTGTTGTGTGACAATGTTCCTGAATGTTCCTGAATGTGATGGGTATCCGCTGCCTTCGCAATTTTCAGTTGCGTTTGTTTGACAAAGCTGGTCAAGGCTCGTCCCAGACACCTGTTGGTGCGTTGTTAACGCCAAGGGATCCGCAGTCACTGGTTTGGGTGGGGGGGGCTGAGGTCTAACGTTTAAACAAGTGTCAGACAAAGACGACTGTACGAGCGTTAGTCATGAATAGGAAACGCGGGACGTTTGAACTTTTAGGATCTGGTCCTGGGGGGGTGGGGGGGTCTGCAATGGCCGCGAGAATCTCAACTTACCAGCGTCAATTAACCCCCTCGTGACCCTGTGCCAGCGGCAGAGCTGTCCCCTGGGGGAGGGTGGGGTGCGGGGGGTACGGGGGAGGGGGTTTGCGGGGGAGGGGGTGCGGGGGAGGGGGGTTACGGGGGAGGGGGTGCGGGGGAGGGGGTGCGGGGGAGGGGGGTTACGGGGGAGGAGAGTGCGGGGAAGGGGGGTGCGGGGGAGGGGGGTGCAGGGGTTGCAGGGGAGGGGGAGGGGTGGGTACGGGGTGGGGGGGCTACTGCGTGTGGGGGGTGTTTGGCCATGCTGTGAATTCCCAGCTTGAGCCGCTGGCTCAACGTCGAGCCGGGTCTGAGAAGCCGCTGCCTCCCTCGGACGTTGAGCTGCTGATGCCGCTGCTGATGCATCTGCTGATGCATCTGCTGATGCCGCTGCGTGTGCTCTCGCGGTTGCGCCTCGTGGCTGTGCGAGCGGCTTGCGGCGCGACTCGCGACGAACGCATCGAGTGATGGGCGCGACGTTCGCTCACATGGGGAGCGAATTGTTTCGCCCGGAAAAGGGTCGAGCTGCAATTGCGTTCGCCGCATCGCGGTCTTTACAAACGTATTCACTGCTGATCGGTGAAGATTATATAATAATGGTGGTGATACTGTTCAATTAGCCCAGGAAAGCGTCGCTGAGTCTCAAAACTCTCTTCTACATTTACTCATTCATCCAGGAGCTGTGGAGTTGTAAGACTCAGCAGGGTCCGGCTGCCATCATTGGATTTTTATTTGCAGGATGTTGTTGTCCAGTGAGTGACGAGTTCTGTTCATTAAACAAGTGGGAGGAAACCGGAGCACCCAGAGAAAGCGCCCCCCCCCCCGCACGCGAGAGGAGCACCACTCTCATCCCCGTACAGATGGAAACATGTGGCGATCAGTCCGCGTGTTGTGCTGCCCCCTCTTGGCGAGCCGGGGTACGGTGGCCTCCTCGACACCCACAGGGAGGGACTTTCACAGCATTCGTGCGGTGATCCACCAACCCTCGCTGCTGCCTCCGCAGGGCTGAGTGACACCCGGCCACGTGCAGCAGCGCGGCCGCCACCGGAGATTCTTGCCTGAGGAAGTTTGGCCAATTCCGTGATCGAGCGTTTGGAGGCTTCATGTGGGATGCATATGGCGTGGAGGAGGTGGTTGGGGATGACACTAATAGCTCGGCAAAGATAGATTCAGGAATTAATTACGTATCGCGCGTGCAGCCCAATGCTACAGCAACCGCTTTTCCCAGGCCAGTCTCCCACGCAAGGACTAATCACAGGCTCAGCCCTGATCAGCTGCTGTCTGCAGGGGAAAAAGAAAAGAAAAGAAAAAAAACCTACGAAGGAATTTTCACGATAATCTGTGCATCTTTTTCACGTGGACACCAAGAGCAACTAAGGATGTATAACCAATCGCGAATTTGACGCGATATTCGACACGATATTCAAACGGACGGCGTAGCATCAAGGTAGGGTCCGTAGCTCTAGGCGAACAGCATCGCGGGGATTGTGAGAACTCTTTGGCTCTCGCCTCATCGCGAGGGGGGGAAAAAACTCCGCGTCTCTGTGGGCGCACGAGAGCGGATGAATGAGAGGCAGCGGAGTGAGCGGATGAATGGGCCAAAGTAAATAATGTAATAATCCCGTACACACGGGAGCTTTTACCGTGAAACGCTTTCAAGATGTTTTAGGACACGGACAGCCATCGACTGTGTGATGACTAAAGCAAGTGTTTGAAACGGTGCCCTCGCGCCATTGTCAGTCATAACACTTCACGGCTAATGGACTTCCCAATCCTCTCTCCGAGGCTTTGATGTGTGGAGTCCGTTGCTCTCTCTCCAACCGCAACCCCTCTAGCTAACCCCCCCCCAGCACCCACCGAACCAAACCCCAAACCCCCACCATCTCCATGGCCCCCTTTTCAGGTCACCAGACCAGAGCCCAGTGCGTTCGTGTCGTTCATGCTTTGCCTATAGAGTTGCTAACCCTCCCGGATTGGTTCGGAGTCGCTGCTGGAATTGGCATCGATCTCTTCCCGGTGACAATTGAAAGGAATCTCGGAGATTTTTTTGCGACTGGATATTTTAAGAAAAATATATTAACAATAATAACCAAAACAAATCCCAGTACATCTTCAGAGTTAGCCTCGTCTGCTAGCCATGGACGATCACTGAATGTGGACACGACCAATGCCAATGACGCGGATCGTTGCAATATGTTGTTGAGTTTATTTTTTGTTTAGCCACCATGAGTTTCGTTTGTAAGAGTGACCTGCGATGGGGGCGGGGGAGGCATTGATGTGCTCGTGTGGGGGTGACGATTGCTCTACAAATTGTCCCAATTGAGTAAATTTGCGGGTGTAGTTTTCGAATCCGGCACAATTAGAAACCATCAATTTCATTTGGCCGTGCATGTTTGAAGTCAAAATCTCGACCATTGAAGCTGGGCCACCGAAGTTACTACAAGGAAATAGAGCAACAAGGAAACAACTAAATCATCGCTGCAGAGGACCCACCTAGCAGGAGGAATGCGTTTATAGAATTATAAAGCACGACGATAGTTTATCAACATTGCGTCAAATTGTATTTACTTTCACGGACATTGGCTCTATCGAATTAGTTGACACGTTCGCCGTAGAATTAAGTTTGAGAAAACGTCCCCAGGGGACGCGCGTGGCCAAAGCGCGCACAGCGTGAACGAGTGCAGAGGTGGTCTTGGGGGGAAGGACGCGCCCGCTCGAGATAATCGATGGCAGGCGTTCGACTCTCACGACGGAGCGACAGCCATGGAACCCCGGAACGCGTACGTGAGAGGATGTCCGCTGCCGGGTCTTCATTCAGCAGCGGATCGATCGTGGCTGGCGATCACGACGATCTGCGAGTGGGGTCGCCCCGTAATTGGTCTACGGTGGGGTTTCGTAATCTCGCGCCGATCGTGTGACAGTCGCTGCGAACACGTGCGGTGTCTTCGTTTCCACATCTGGCTTTGTCATTGTGGGAGGTGGGTGGGTGGGTCTCCTCTCTCCAATGACCCCCTCACACACACAAGACAGAGATCCCCCATATAGCTCTAAAGAGACTGTTGGGGCAAGTGCTGTTAGCGAGCACCTAATTAGGCCGGCGCCGCACGCGAAGGAGCGGGTGGCCAGCGCCACGCCCGGCCGCCTTTGTCTCCCCAGTGGCGATGTTTACACATCGCACTAGGCAGTCGTTTGAGGCAGAGTCGACCTAGAGGAGGCCCAAGACCGGTTCAGACAATCGCCACTGGCGTTGACCGTGAGTGGGAATCGAACTCGGGTCGCCGGGTTCGTGGCACAGCGCAGCGCTGACCGCTGCACCAGGGGGTCGGCAACCTGCGGATCCCGAGGCGCACGCGGTGGCTCATTCATCACGGGCCGCCACCGCCTCGTATTCACATTGCGTTGCGGCTCTTGAAATATAATCTTTTTTTTGTTTTCACCGATAAAATCGAAAAAAGCTTTCGACGTGTCGACCCCTGCGCTCCACTGCCGCTCCCCACACGAAACACACGGGCGCAGAGACGCACGCACACTCGCATCCACGCCGCCGCCGCCGCCGCCGCCGCCACCCGCCTTCATCTGGCGCAGAATCCCTCGCCAGCAGCAACACAGCCCTCAAGGTCAGCAGGGACTTCGGCCTGCGAATGACGAGGAGCAAACGCAATGCAACAGTTGGTGTGGAGTATCGAGTTTCAGTTGGGGGGACGTGTTCGTGTGCAGGCGTTTCGGGTCTGTGTGTGTGTGAAGCTGTGTTGGTGTACGTGTTTTTGTATGATTGTCCGTGTGCATGGGGAGCGGTAGCACAGTGGTTAGCACGAAGTTCGATTCTCGCTCATGCCGAACGCCAGTGACGATTATCTGAACCGGTCCTGGGCCCTCAGTCTCAAATGAGTATCTGGTGTGGTGTGGAAACATCGCCACTGGGAGACAAAGGCGGCCAGGCGTTGGTGTTGGCCACTCACCCCCTCGTGTGCCGTTTCGGCCTTCATAGGTGCTCGCTAATGGCACTTGCCTCTACAGTCGTTAAGGCTATATGGGTGATCCTTGTCTCTCCGCCTATATATAGAGTATCTTTAGTTCATCATCCTATGGGCTTTCCAGACCAATATAGCAGAGTGCATGTGTGCTCGTGTGTGTGTGTGCTCGTGTGCGTGTGGCTCACGGACTGCACAACAAACTTGGCAAGTCGAGTTCAATTCCTGTAAGTGTGGATAATATCAACGGAGATTGATATCAGCATCCGGTGAGCATTCAAATGAGTATCCGACGCAAAACGTAAACATCCAGCGCTGGGGAGACAAACTGTGAGGCTCTGCAATCTGTCCTTAGACAGACGTGTCAACTGTCTGACTAGAGGGAGGACCTGAGGCCTATGGGTGGCGGTGATGAGGCTGTAAGAGCGTTCGTTGAAGGTCAAGCGTTGACTGCGTGACGGCCGCTGACTCCAGCAGAGGGGAAGAAGCGATGGTGAGGTGTGGTGGCTCTTCGCTTCTCAAAGGCACCACCTGCTTGGGAGCGAATGCACAGCCTGAGCGAATCCATCACGTGAACATCGTTGTTACTTTCGCAAACTTTGTTGTGGGTGACGTTTGACATTTGGATTGCTAGTTTGCCAAACAGTCACACAATGGCCAATCCTTGAGAATTATACGAAAATGTTTCTGTTGACTTTTTTTGTTTTGTCGAACTAGCTTTACCGCATCGTGCAACAGCTGCGCGATCCGGCAAAAGGTCGGAAGTGACGGCGCAGTGGGCTGGTGGTGTTGGCTGCGATGGCTTCTTCACCTTGACCTGGCACCGTCGTGCGCTCACACGGTGCGTGCGTGTGTCTTCACAGCGCTCCATCAGCCTGCGCCCAGAAAGCGGTCCCCTGGTTCCGCCATCGCCACCATCGTCTCCGCCGTCACGATCGCCCACTCTCTTTGACGGCGCCTGGAGAGCGGTGCGGTTGGGTGGTGGCTGTGGAGGAGGAGGAGTGGCAGCCACGCCGGGTCCTCACCCTCCGTCGTCGCACAGCAGCTCCTCGCTCAAGCGACGTGACAGCAAGCTGTGGAGCGAGATGTACGACACCGGCACCACGGAGCGTCTCTCCCGCGCCGAGATCAAGCGGCAGGAGGTAGCTCCTGGCGCACTGCGAACCAACGCCACCGCGCATCGTCGGCATCGCCATCACCATCATCACCAGCCATCACCTATCCGCTGATAGATGAATGCCTTCCTCGGGCTGTTGCCAACTCTCGCAGTCCTGCGATGGAACGATCTGGCTGGCTCCTGCACCATGAGCTGATTTCATGGCTCCCAACTCGATGGAAGACGTCCCTGCGGGCGTTCTCCCTCCTTTAGCTGCCACTGCATTTTTAGTCTCGACCGTTGGCCGTCACCCCTTCTCACTGTGGCGAATTCTAATGGGGCTTTTGTTTTTTGGTGAAATGATCCTCATGGCGGTACCCCGGGGTACCAATAATACAAAATGGCCGAAGTAATGGAATATTTTATTTCTGGGACACTATTTTTTCCAGGGGTGTACTTCACTCCTCGACTGTGGTACCAATCAATCCGAAATCAGTGCTACTCCGCGATCTCAAAACGCATTGAGGACGATTGCGCTGAAACCCTGAACGTTCGTGTATGCACCGTAGTGGTGGTGCATCGTGCACAGCTCGTCGAGATGAGTCGATTGCCGCATCGCCGACCATCTACAGACTAAACATGACTGTATCACAGACATTATGCGAGAGCCGGGTACTATGGTACCCTGTGGTACCGCCATAAGGTTCAAATGTAGGAATATTTGTACAATGTGACGCAATAACTCCATGTGGTGCATAATCTGTAAATCTAAAGTAGCTTACGCCTCCCGTAAATCGCGTGACATCCGCGTGGCCACTCCCACTCCGAACCCCTCTCACTGCCCGCTGTAAAAACACACGATCCTCCCCCGCGCGGCTCACGTCTGCTCTCTCCTTCCTTCTCTCTCCCTCTCGTCTCTCCTCTGTCATCATCACCGCCCTCTCATCATCCTCGACATCGTGGCCCGGTCATTCCTTCTCTCCCTCCCCCTCCTCCCCCTCCCTTCCTGCTGCTCCACTTGAGCCGTAGCCTCCTCCTCCCCTGTCCCTCTTAAGGACTTCCGTGCAGGCCTCCCTTCCCGTTCCTTTCTCTCTCTCCTTTGCATTACATCATTGACTCTACTCCCCTTCCTGTCGTGCAGTCACAGGTAAATGGTGTTATGCTAGCGAAATTATAATTACTTATGATTACTTAATGTTAATTTAAATCTGATCGAGTGAACACACTGAATCGATGTGTCCTGTGCACGTAAAGTAAAATTAATACTGATTTCTGACGCTTGGTTTTGATTTTCCAGGCAATTTTTGAGTTGGCCCAAGGTGAACAGGACCTCATCGAAGACTTGACCTTGGCCAAAAAGGTTGGTGTCCGTCCGCCAACCACCTCAAACAAACATCAGTCATCATTGAAACCACAGGCGGAGTCTGATGTCTATATTTGGTGGCGGGGGGGCACTTTAGAAATCGCGGTTGCATATAATTAATTAATTTATATTCTTCATATTAAACTACTAAACTAATTAATAAAGTTGTCTAGTTTGGAAGGGGCCTTGCCCCCCCCCCCCCGCAAACACCCGCCCATGATTTAAATCGAAAGTTTAAATTATTCACAAACCCCGTAGTGTCAACCCACTGCTGCATGAAGGACTCTCACCATGCCGTGTCGGTCAGTCATGGGAATTGTTTGGCCCACACTTGGCCACGCAGGTTCATGCCAGATGGTGAAGGGGCCAGCAAGCCCAGGGCCGCGTCTCAGATAGAACTCGCCACTGATGTTCGTCCATGCATGGCCTGGAATGAAACTCAGACTCACAGCACAGTGCGCAACAACTACACCACCCCCTCGATATAGACACAGAGTCCACCGATTGGCTGACGTGGGGGAGGGTAAGTTGCATGCCCCCCACACAAACATTTCATCGCCTCAGAAGAGTGCTTAACCAAATGTGTGACTGCTTTTGTGCCATCTGTACGGAAAAGCGTGTTACCCCCCCCCCATGCATAGCTTTTCACCGGGTGCTCTGATTTCCTCTCACACGTGTAAACACTCCTTCATTGGCTGATATCACCTTCATATATAGAGGACCGCAGAGCTTGGGGTGGGTGGAATTTGGCACTGGCTCAACACCTGCCTGCCGCCTTCCTGCTTGTCTGTGATTTGTTACAGGTTGAAATTGTTGTTGTTGTTCTTATTATGTCATGGATTACACTTAGAGTATGGCTAAAACGCAATCCACAGAGTGATACTCGCACAAACATTTCACGTTTTTTTTTTTAATACCTCGATTGGACAAAGACTGTGCAACGAAAACAAAATAAAAACCCCGAAATGCCGACCACATTACCACCGCTCTCTGGGGGGGGGGGGGGGGCACTGGGTGCGTGGGGGGGTCAATGTCACCCGCTCGCCACGCACCAGCGAGCGCGCGGTGCGGTGAGTCGTTGAGGAGCGTCAAACACGAGAACATTTCGTGAGGCCTCCCCCACCCACCCCCCTTTTCACAGGGTCCCTCACCACCGGAGGTGTGTTTGACTTTCCCAAGTGAGGCCCAAACTGCTGCGCGGCCGGCCGAGCCTGTTTACTTTCCCAGATTGTGCTGTGGGAGGGGGAGAAAAAAACCCCCAGAGGAGATGAAAAAGCATGGAGCGCCCTCCTGCGTGCTTGGGCACGCGGAGACGCGGGCAAATTAAAAACGCCACCCATCGAGACGCCGCCGTCGTCACTTCTGAGTTACCACTCGGGTTGCCTCCTCCGAGTTACTACTCGAGTTGCCGCTTCTGAGTTAGATATGAAGCCGGGGGGGGGGGGGGAGTTAATCGTCATCATGGGGAGGAAGGATCACTCGCAATACTATCAGGAATTTTTTTTCAATTCGGGTCCCGGGAGAAAAACCTCTATCGATTTACCAAGACGACAACCTCACAAAGAGGACGACGGTCCTGGGAATACCAAGTTAGGTGGACACCCGAGTTATGGTACCGTACACTGCCCATGGTGGACACTACTCGTGGTGGACACTGTCCCTGGTGGACACTGCCCATGGTGGACACTGCTCGTGGTGGACACTGCCCATGGTGGACACTGCTCGTGGTGGACACTGCCCGTGGTGGACACTGCCCATGGTGGACACTGCCCCTGGTGGGCACTGCCCGTGGTGGACACTACCCGTGGTGGACACTGCCCATGGTGGACACTGCCCCTGGTGGGCACTGCCCGTGGTGGACACTGCCCATGGTGGACACTGCCCATGGTAGATACTGCTCGTGGTGGACACTGCCCGTGGTGGACACTACTCGTGGTGGACACGAGTAGCATTCGTCACCCCAGGTGGGGTCCGAACGAGCTCTTTGGTGCAAGGACCGTGGTGAGTTTGTGTACAAACCCGCGCAGGGCTCGTTCACAAAGACGGGGCGCTACCCTCCAGTTCCCATGGCGAACCGCGCCAGGCCCCACACGTTCCCACGTTCTCGCCGACGAGGCAGCGGCGGCGGCGGCGCATACGTAATTGGCCACAGTTTAATATTTGCCAGCGTTTTCAGGCCCCGTGCGCAATTTTGACTTTTCTTCACGGCAGATTAAGGGCGAAATTCGAAAGTAAAGTTGAACCATGGAAACTGGAGGGGCTGGGCGGCGGCGGCGGAGGTGACGGGGGAGAGGGGGTGGTTGCGGCTGACTACTGGCCGCGGCGGCTGTTTGCACTCTGGGAAATTTACTCTCTGGAGCAGGTGGTCAATTTGGCTGTGACACCGACACGCAGCGCCCAAGAGCCCGTGGGAACTTCGCCGCTGGATCTGCGGGGCAGACTGCACGCAGCAGCAGCACCCGTAATAGCGTGGGGGGGGGGGGGTCGTAGCTAAAGACGACAAACCACACGGTGCACATGAGATATTGGCCCAAAACATCACAATTCTGAAAAAAATGTCCTTGCATATTACTCAACTGGAATTATATGTCACGTCGCCCCCCTTCTGTGTACACTTGGCAGGACCCTCTGAAAAACGAGCCTTGAGACTCGGTGAGGCTTTTCTGGGTAAACAAACAAAATCATAATATCCATAATAGAGGTTTTTTTTTGGGTTAGATTGCGTAAATATAAATGTGTCATTTCCCGCCACCGCCCGACACAGCCAATTAGTAATGTTTGTCACGTACACAAAACATGCCAATTCGCTACTTGTTCAGCACACCGGTTTATTGCAGAGTAAACCCACAACATTTACAATTCGAGTACTGTGACATTTCACCGGTAATTACAACCAGCCTCATCAGGCGACAGCAAGAGTTGTAGAGAAATTCTCCTGTTTCGATCTTAATAATAATATACATTGGAGATTAGTCCAGAAGGACGGAAATTACATTTTACCCAGGACGATCTCAACTGAAGACTCGTATTGTCATGACGAGCCTGCTACGGTAGGTTTGGCTGATTTCACTTGATTGCGTGTCTTTAAGGTGACGGCGCCCTCACTGCTGCAGAGTCCCCAATGTCCACTTTGTCTGGCCCAATAGTCTGCGCTCATGCCGACAAAAATAAATATTCTGATTCTGACATTTAAAATATTTAATTGAAGCTCGGTGCTAAGACACCATCCCTTGAACCCCCTCGTGTTCACTCACGACCGCCGTCTCTTCCACCCGGGCCCTGTCCACATGATGGGCCACTTTGCTGAGTTAGCATTTGTGGGTAGGTCGCTTCTGAAAAAGAAGTGAATACCTCAGCGGGCTTCGCCTGGTGGGATGGGGCTGGTTTAGTGTCGTGTGTTTGTCTTTGGTTGACTTGTTTACCTTTCTTGCACTTTGCACGACTACCGTGCGTTTGTGTTGTTTGTTGTTGTAACTTTATTACTTGCCCCTACTGGACATCTGTGAAAAAGAGCTTCATAGCTCATCGGATTCCTCCTCCTGCAGTGTAGATACATCTTTCTGCTGATTCTGTCCCCCGCAGGTTTACCACGACCCCATGCTCACGCTCGCGATAATGTCCGCCAAGGAGCTGGAGAAAATCTTTGGGATGCTGGAGACCTTCATCCCTCTGCACGCCGGTGAGTGCCTTGGCTCTCGCCTCCCTTTTCGTGAACACAAGCGTCGATGCCGGCCCGGTGTTGTTGTCTCCATTGCTATTGAAAAACAACAACAAAATACTACATGATGAAGGGAAATAGCAACGACGGAAAGTGGAGCCACTTGAGATGGCGTTTAGTCGTTGAGCTGTGAAGCCTTTGGCTTTTTGGAGAAGGCCATGCTTCAGTCCGAGCCGCTCTGCGGTTTTCCGGAGGGGGGGGGGAGATAATTAGAACGATTGTCCCTGCCATAGGAATGTGTCGTTTCTGATCCCCCGCTGGATCGGGGTCACCAGTGGGAACAAGCTTTGTTCATGCGTTGGGTTTGAGTAGAGAGACGTCTTGAATCTACTGGCCTTGTACGCAACTTCACAGCGGAGGAGTGAAGGGGCCTTAGCGCAGGGGATTACGAATGCCGTGCAACCTCGCGTGAAAGATCCTCAGCAGCAACTCAATCACTACACCAAGTTCTCTCAGTTACTCCGCCAATTTAAACTTTCTTTAACGCTCCGACAAAAAACAAATCTTAGTTTTTCGTCCACACCATTTGAACAACGATTTTGTGAATAAGTCACCAAAGAAATTTGGGTGCCGGAATAAAAAATTAAAGAGTCTGGAGGGCATAGTTTCAATCGGGCCTGTCCACGTCGGTGATGCTAAAAATCACACCAGAGCTCGGTACACCACATCCATCATACCGCTCGCTGTGATGGCGGTGGCTGCTGCTCGTGTGCCTACTCCAGGCTCGCAGAGATTCCAGAAAAGTCCCCCGTGAGAAATTGAGCGCCGGGGGGCTCATCCCTCGTTGCGTTCACACGAATAGCCAGACGGTGAGGTCTCTGTCGTTGACACGGGCGGCCAATTTGGCTGAGCACAGGAAGGGCCTCTCCTCGCAAGCGGGTGCCGAGAGTAACTCGCCGTATTGTGTCCCGCCGGCACTCTGCGCAGACCTTCTGGCCAAGCTGAAGACGGCGCGGAAGGACGACGGGACCACGGACAGAGTGGGGCACATCTTGGCAGCCTGGGTGAGACAAACGAACCCGGCTCTCCTGTTGCTGTATTACTCCTCGGCTGGTTTACCCAGGACAGCCTCGCGTTTTCAGGATGGTCCTGCAAAGTTTTAGCAGTTGGGGGAGGGGGGGGCGGGGAGATCATTGCCGCTGTGTAAATTCCGATTAAGTAACTTGAGAGTAATTTTTCTAATCTGAACCGTGACGTCGACACGCAATGGCATGCTCTTGAGAACGGCGCCACGGGATCTTTGATGTCTACTGGGAAGCACGTGGGCCGTAGTGTGATCATGGTTATTACAAACCACAGTATTGACCAGGGGCGGCCGCTGTAGCGAACTGTGAACCTCTGCAACAAACGGCGAATTCGCCACCGCCAGGCTGCGTCACTGCCCGGCGTGTCTTCGGGCCGTACCGCTGTGCATCATTTGGCGCGATGTCTGGCGTTTCGCTCTCCAATTCCGGAACCTTGTTCCAGAATTAAATTCAGTTCAGGTTGAAATACGCCAGAGAGTTATGCAGCATAACCGTAAAAAATGTACGCGGTACAAAACGAGCGTACGTCCGGCGACAACAGCTCCAGCAAGTCAGCCGGATCGGCCACTACAGGAAATATCTCCCAAGTCTCCTTTTAATAGGTTTCGTGGAGGTATAATATGTAGGCTGTCACGGACAATATTATCCACAATTGAGGTTTTTTTGGTTAGATTATTTTGATGTCAGTGTGTCATTTAACCCCCCACCACCCGACACAGCCAATTCGTAAGGTGTGTCATGTAAACAAAACGTGCCAATGAGTTGCTAGCTCGGCACACTGCTTGTGTGTTGGAGAGTAAACAACAACATTTACAATTCGAGTACCGTGACGTTCGCCGGTAGTGACAACAACAACGGGCAGCATCATCAGGCGACAGCCAGAGTTGTGGAGAAATCCTCCTCCTGTTTCGGTCCTAAATAGAGGACGGATAAACGTGATGTCGTCATCTTCTTGGTTCTTTCGGTAAAGTCACGTAGAAGGGAAGTAATAAAATAATAAAAATAAAACATAATAAAATTATTCTCACGACGTTTCGGCCACAACGCAAGCAGTCGTCCTCAGGTGAAAACCAGGTCCGTCGAGGCGGCAGAGTCTGAATGAAACAGCACACGAGCTTGGAGCATATATATAATGTCGTCACTCGTGAGCCAATGAAGTGCGAAGACCAGAGGGAGGATTAATGCATTCATATAAATGACAACGGATGTCTATTATTGGTTGGGTTATCCACAGTTAATGAACGTACAAAATGTGCATTGTGCATTATGTATGTACATCATGCAGGTACATCATGCATTATGCCATTTTTGGGTCACAAAGCTTTCCTGGACTTGGTTCTTTGAGTTCATGGTTGGGGAGGGGGGTTATTACCACCACTTCTCTGCACCTGTCAGGATATTTGTTTTGATTTGTGTACTGTTTTCATGAAAACCCATTTGTTTTGTCCGTCCACATGTCCATCCGTCCGTTTGTCTGTGCTTTGTTTGTTCATCTACCTGTCGTCAGCCAGTCAGTCTGCTCGTACATTTGTCCATCCTGTTGCCAGTCCGTTTGTCTGTCCATCCATTTGTCGTCCATACAATTGACCCGTCTCTCTCTCTCTTTCCATCCGTTTTGCCCCCCCCCCCCCCCCCCGTCTGTTTGACCGCCCGTGTGTCCCGTGCCCCCGCCCTCTGGCTGCCCACAGCTCCCATGCCTCACCGCTTACTCGCGCTACTGCAGCAACCAGGTGGCGGCCCGCCTGCTGCTGGAGCGCAAGCGGGGTGAGGCGCGTGTCCACGACTTCCTGCAGCGCTGCCTCGAGTCGCCCTTCTCACGCCGCCTCGACCTCTGGAGCTTCCTGGACGCGCCGCGCTCGCGCCTCGTCAAGTACCCGCTGCTGCTGCGCGGGATCCTGCGCCACACACCCAACGACCACGCCGACCGCCAGCTGCTGGAGGAGGCGGTGAGCGAACTGCTGCCCGGAAGACGTTAAAGGCTTTATGGGGGGGGGGGGGGGTGTTGTCTTTGTCTGGATAATGTATAGGTAACGATCTTACAGAACACCAGAGTTTTGAACTGATGTCATTTTGAATACACAGCCCTAAACCATTGCCCGTGACCAAACCTCCCAAAATTCTGCACGGCCTCGTCACGTCTCAAAAAGCTAAGCAGGTTTTTTTTTATCGTGGACAGTGCTCGGATGGGCAACCACCGTTGCTAAAGGTCAGGTGCCATAGGCTGCTGCCCCTACAATGTCGGCAGATGGCAGCGTGGAAAAAAATCCACCGTGGTTCTGTACTACGCCTGTTCTACGCCTTCAGCTGCTGTACTGCTGTTTTGTACTACGCCTTCAGCAGCCCGCAGCCTGCGTGTGTGTGCTGCTCCCTGTAAAATTGCAAAATGAAATCAACCGCACGAATTTCTGTAGGCAGGCGCAATCCACAGAATGAGCCTGGAGACTCGGCGAGGCTTCCCGTGTAAATGAAGAACGGTTATTATCGTTATTACCACCTCCGATCGGCCCGGGTGGCTATGTACGGTGGCGAAAGAAGCTTAACGTACGTAGAAAGCAATAAGCCGAGTATAAAACAGGTTTTTGGTGTTCGTTTCTAAAAAGGTATATTTTTTCTCGTTATATTTACGGACTAACGTCCCAAGTAAGGACTCTCCTTGACACAGTCTTGCGGCTCAGTCGAGGCTGTCTGGAACAAGTAAATATTAACTTTACGCATGTGTTTTTATGGTGGAATCTCTCCGGACATCTTTCAGCTAGCTATAACCGCGGCATGAAAAAAAATGCCGAGTTTGCGGAGAAAAAAAGAAAAATCGCACAGAGCGATGCAAATCAAAAGATAACAAAACGATTTGGTGATGCTGCTGCCAATCCTGCAGCTGCTGCATTGGCAGTGGCGCACACACACATAGCAGACACACACACACACATAGCAGACACACACACACACATAGCAGACACACACACACATAGCAGACACACACACACATAGCAGACACACACACATAGCAGACACACACACATAGCAGACACACATACACATAGCAGACACACACACATAGCAGACACACACACACATAGCAGACACACATACACATAGCAGACACACACACACATAGCAGACACACATACACATAGCAGACACACACACATAGCAGACACACAGACACATAGCAGACACACATACACATAGCAGACACACATACACATAGCAGACACACACACACATAGCATACACACACACACATAGCAGACACACACACACATAGCATACACACACACACATAGCATACACACACACACATAGCAGACACACATACACATAGCATAGACACACACACATAGCAGACACACATACACATAGCAGACACACACATAGCAGACACACACACATAGCAGACACACACATAGCAGACATACATACACATAGCAGACACACATACACATAGCAGACACACACACACATAGCAGACACACACACACATAGCAGACACACACACATAGCAGACACACACACACATAGCAGACACACACATAGCAGGCACACATACACATAGCAGACACACATACACATAGCAGACACACACATAGCAGACACACATACACATAGCAGACACACACATAGCAGACACACATACACATAGCAGACACAAAATACACATAGCAGACACACATAGCAGACACAAAATACACATAGCAGACACACACATAGCAGACACACATACACATAGCAGACACACATACACATAGCAGACACACACATAGCAGACACCCATACACATAGCAGACACACACACACATAGCAGACACACACACATAGCACACACACACGCATAGCAGACACACACACACATAGCAGACACACACATAACAGACACACACACACATAGCAGACACACACACACATAGCAGACACACACACATAGCAGACACACATAGCAGACACACACACACATAGCAGACACACACACACATAGCAGACACACACACACATAGCAGACACACACACACATAGCAGACACACACACACATAGCAGATACACACACATGTAGCAGACACACACACATAGCAGACACACACACACATAGCAGACACACACACACATAGCATAGACACACACACATAGCAGACACACACACATAGCATACACACACACACATAGCAGACACACACACATAGCATACACACACACACATAGCATAGACACACACATAGCATATACACACACACATAGCAAACACACACACACATAGCATACACACACACACATAGCAGACACACACACATAGCAGACACACACACACATAGCAGACACACACACACATAGCATAGACACACACATAGCAGACACACACACACACATAGCAGACACACACACACATAGCAGACACACACACACGTAGCAGACACACACACACACGTAGCAGACACACACACACATAGCAGACACACACACACATAGCAGACACACACACACATAGCAGACACACACACACATAGCAGACACACACACATAGCAGACACACACACACATAGCAGACACACACACACATAGCAGACACACACACATAGCACACACACACACATAGCAGACACACACACATAGCAGACACACATAGCAGACACACACACATAGCAGACACACACACATAGCAGACACACACACATAGCAGACACACACACACGTAGCAGACACACACACACGTAGCAGACACACACACATAGCAGACACACACACACACATAGCAGACACACATACACATAGCAGACACACACACATAGCAGACATACACACACGTAGCAGACACACACACACATAGCAGACACACACACACATAGCAGACACACACATAGCAGACACACACACATAGCAGACACACACACACATAGAAGACACACACACACATAGCAGACACACACACATAGCAGACACACACACACACATAGCAGACACACACACACATAGCAGACACACACACACATAGCAGACACACACACACATAGCAGACACACACACACATAGCAGACACACACACACATAGCAGACACACACACATAGCAGACACACATACACGTAGCAGACACACATACACGTAGCAGACACACACAACCAATACACATAGCAGACACACACCACATAGCAGACACACTTACACGTAGCAGACACACACACGTAGCAGACACACACACACATAGCAGACACACACACACATAGCAGACACACACACACATAGCAGACACACACACATAGCAGACACACACACACGTAGCAGACACACATACACGTAGCAGACACACACACACATAACAGACACACACACACATAGCAGACACACACACACATAGCAGACACACACACACATAGCAGACACACACACACATAGCAGACACACATACACGTAGCAGACACACATACACGTAGCAGACACACACACACATAGCAGACACACACACACGTAGCAGACACACATACACGTAGCAGACACACATACACGTAGCAGACACACACACACGTAGCAGACACACACATACATAGCAGACACACACACACATAGCAGACACACACACACATAGCAGACACACACACACGTAGCAGACACACATACACGTAGCAGACACACACATAGCAGTCACACACACACATAGCAGACACACACACACGTAGCAGACACACATACACGTAGCAGACACACATACACGTAGCAGACACACACACATAACAGACACACATACACATAGCAGACACACGTACACATAGCAGACACACATACACATAGCAGACACACATACACATAGCAGACACACATACACATAGCAGACACACGTACACATAGCAGACACACATACACGTAGCAGACACACACACACACATAACAGACACACATACACATAGCAGACACACGTACACATAGCAGACACACATACACATAGCAGACACACATACACATAGCAGACACACATACACATAGCAGACACACATACACATAGCAGACACACGTACACATAGCAGACACACATACACATAGCAGACACACATACACATAGCAGACACACATACACATAGCAGACACACATACACATAGCAGACACACGTACACATAGCAGACACACGTACACATAGCAGACACACGTACACATAGCAGACACACATACACATAGCAGACACACGTACACATAGCAGACACACATACACATAGCAGACACATACACGTAGCAGACACACAAAACTCAACGCACTCGTCACTAACACTTGTGGCCTTAAAAGGAAATAAATATAATATAGACAACGCTACGGGCAACGGGCCTCTTCTGTACAGCACATGAAGAAGTGGCCATCGCCAGATACAAATCGTTATCATTAACTCCCTCGCCTGGTATACAGGAAGTCGTGGGTTCCATCCCGACACTAATTCCTGTATACTTGGAATATCTTATGTTCTCCTCGTGGTGACGTGGATTTTTCTCTGGAGCATCCAGTTTTTCCCTGCACATTTAGAATCAACATCAGGCGTTTCAGAGTATTTGCCTGCTATACATTTCCACGTGATAAGCCACTTCATTGGGCTATCATTTGCGATGGCCAGGTCGCTTCTGAAAAAGAGTTACATACCTCAGTGGGGCTTTACCTGGTAAAATAAAAAATGTAATTGTTTAGCAAATCGTAAATATCTATGCTATGCAGGAGGTAGTTCACTTTTCTGCCGGAACAACCCTGCGCCAACCCCCATCTGAACCCCACGGCTATGCTTCGTTTCACCTCCCGTCGGAGAATAACGCTGCCATGTGTGGAAGCGTGGGGGCCGGCCTCGCACCACAAGGACGCGTGCACGCTATCGCGTCGTCGCGAGGGTTTTTATCGTTGCGTTCGCAGGTCTTTATTTTTTCTCAAAATAGATCAGAGATCGGTGGTGGGGGGGGGGGGGTGCAAGGGGGCTAGGTTTAACCTAAATTGTTTTGTACGCCTAAACAGTTATGGGTGTACTCGTTGGTTTTTTCGGTAAAGTCACGTATGTAGAAATAAAAGAAAATTTAACTAAATAAATTAAAATAAATCACGACGTTTCGAACGCAATACAAGCGATCATCATCAGGTGGAAATGGGGCAAAACACACAGCAAGGAAACACACAGGGGGACACCAAGCACGCAGCACACAGAGAACCTGCAAACTGCATGGAGGCAAACAACAACAAGAAGATGGGAGACGAGAACTCAACAAACCTTAGAAACACAATGTGATGCAAAACCAGTCGGCCAACAACACAGTCAAACACTAACCTGGTTGACCACGTATTTCAAAAGACTGCTAAATTTCGTAGTCAACTTCTGGGCTGAACATACCAACGTAAACAGAATGAATAGATACGAGGTACAAGGTCGCAGAGATACATATACAGAGAAGAACACCAGGGAAAGATGCTTTGAGCAGCACAGAGGGACAACCAGAGTAACACCACACCAAGAGACATACACACATGGAGAAGCACACACAGAAAGATGCCTGGAGGGATAACGTACAGGGACTTATATATATTCTAAAATAGCTACCCTGGTCATTCTTGCAAATGACAAAAAACAGAACACGTTCGTCAATAACACGGTGTGACCTTTAAAAAACATATATATAATGCAGGAGGCAAGGTTTCGGTAAATGGCCCTTCTTGCAACAAACAGGTCAGCAGAGCGGTGGAATCTCTGCAAGAGAGTCTCTGGTCTCTGGCGCTTCTCGCTTGGTGAAATCAACAACAAAAAACAAGCCGGACACCTGAACCCATGCCTGTGCGTCTGCCCTGCTGCAGATCAGCACGGCGGCCGGGATCGTGCGCGACGTCAACTCTCGCACCGGCGAATCCGAGTGCCGCTACTTCTGGAACCGCCTCGACTGGAGCGACGTCCCGGCCGGCGACGGCGCCACCGCCGTCGCGGCGCCGCGGCTCCTGTCGTGCCACGGCGAGCTGAGAACGGCACGCGGCGCGGTGAGTGCGCATGCACACAGATACAAAGACCGTCGGGGCAAGTGCTGTTAGCGAGTACCAGTACCGGCCACCGTTGTTTTCCCAGTGGCGATGTTTCTACACCGCACCAGGTATTAATTTGAGGCCGAGTCGACCTCGGGGAAGTCTAGAATCGGTTCAAATATGATCGGCCGTGAGCGAGAATCGTCTGTGAGCGTGCATCACAGCGCGACCGCTCTTCGCAGCGAGCACGCTCGGCAATGGCTTCAAGACCATTTCCACTGTTTTCTATCTTTGTGCCATGATGCCGATAGTACTCTTGGAATGTAATTGGGTGGAAAAATAAGAGATTTTCCAACTCAAGTATTTGTGACCCAATCCAGTCCGCCTTTCCACGATTAGTAATCCTTCACCCTTTAAAATACAAATTAAGGCATTACACAGTGCACAATCCTGATGATTGGTAACAACATCTCACGTAATGTGCAGAGTGCCTTTTCAAAACAAATGAAGATTGTGAATCGTGAATGTGTGTGTGTGGAGAGCGCAGTAGTGCAGTGGTTAGCGCGCTGCGCTACGAACCCGCTGACTCGAGTTCAATTCCTGCTCAAAGCCAACACCAGGGACAGTTATCTGAACCGGTCCTGGGCCTTCCCTAGGTCGACTCAGCCTCAAACGAGTACCTGGTGCGGCATGAAAAAACATAGTGACTAGGGAGACAAATTCATTCCGGGCGTGGTGCTGGCCACCCACAGCCCCTCGTGTGCCACAGTGCCGGCCTTCATAGGTGCTGCTCGTGAACAGTACTTGCCCCAAAAGTCTGTTGAGGATATACGGGGGATCTGTGTCTGTCCCAAGAGCACATACAAATGAAAATTGTAATAAATGAATATCGTAAATTAAGGCACGTCCCGACCACTTTCCACCAGCATTACGCAGCTCCTGAACGAGGTTGTTGACAAATACAATTATGCAAGAGTTCATTTTGAAAAACATTAATAATTTAGCGCGCAACATAACGCATCGAACTACGCACGAATGCAGCAATTGACTATTCACATTTTATATTGGTGATTGGAAAACTGTGCGAAGCTTACGTTTAGGCTCGTGGAACAAATGGCGCGAAATCAAAGTGAAGAATAGCAACGGGAAACGACGCAATCATTCTCTTTATTTTCAAACAGTAACTCCAAAACGTGACAATTCATCAAATCACAGTGTATGACAATAATTTTATTAAAGGTCCGAGCTGCACTGACTGCCTCAAGGTCATATAGACCTTGTATGATGCGAGCGCAGATAAACGCGGTGCGTATTAGCGCAAACGCCGTACAGTTTTGACACGCCAAGACCTGTCCGTGATGCCAGGCAAATATGAATCGAGCTTGCTCTAATAACTAATTTAATGATTCTGGGATTTGGGAGCTCACTGGTGATGATGGGTCCTAGGCTGCACCGCAGGGATGTTACGTCGCTCTAAATCACGCAGGCAGTGAGATCCGTTTTTTTTCTAAGTTATTCCAGCAAAGAAATCCACACGGATGGGAACAGAAAATAACAGCCGTTGGTGAATTACAGCAGTGCCTCCACTCTCGTCGCCATCGTCACCTTCGTCACCGTCGTCATCGGCCATGATCCGTCCATTGCTGGGTGAATGCCTCCCCAAGCCGTCACCATTTCTCAGTCCCACGAGTGTAACTGTTCATCGAGCTCCTGAACACAACTTGAATTTATCGCTCCATCTCCGTGGCGTCTCGATGTCTCCTGCCCAAGCCCGTTTTATTTTCTCAACAGTAACTTGGTGGGACAAGGTCAATTATAATTTCCTACTACGCCCTAATTAATCAAATTATCAACCTCCCATTCACATCGCCTTCCAGCCAAGCAAACCACAAAGTGGGTCTCAATGTATAACATGTAGACCGTGTAAATGCATCATAAACCCACCTCCACGTGGATTGATGACGTGGAGGTGCGTGGTTTTATGACACATTTACGCGACCTAACCCAACACAAATCTGATCGTGGATCTCGCTGCCCAAGCGACCCGTAGCCAGCACACAACTCTGCAGCGCAGCGTTCGCCCCGAGACGCAGGCGATGATCGAGACGCACGAGCACACACATACACACGATAAACCACACGATGGGTTCGCGCTTGCCGGCGCCGGGGGAGCGAGTCATCGAGTCCACGCCCGCCGCCACCCCCCCCCGTGTCCCGTCCCGCAGCGCGTCTACGTGTTCCTGTTTGAGCGAGCCCTGGTGGTCACGCGCCCGCTGGGGGGAGGCGGCGGAGGAGGCGGCGGCGGCGCCTCTGACGGAGGGGGCCCGCGGTACCGCACGCGCGGACGCCCCATCCCCGTGAGCGAGCTGGCACTGTGGGACCTCACCGACGGCGACGTCATCACAGTGGGGGGCTCCTTCCGGGGGGCCTTCCGTGGCGGACAAAGAGGTGCCCTGCCACTTCACGACCACTTCTCTTCCCCCCCCGCCCCTATTTAATATTTTCCCCTCTTGTCCGGATTGAGCAAATCGGCATCATGAGACGAAGGATCCATTCGAAATTCTTTCGCAAAGCACTGCGGCCATTCGCGTTGCAGAACATTCCCACGGAAGCAGATGTCACAAAACTACTTCCGAGATCCCTTCAAGTGACCTCTAGTCCACACACTGTGGGGGCAACACTTTATCACATAACCTGCAATAAGAGTCGTGTTTGTTTTTGTGCAGTCATTGGTGACCGGGCAGAGGCCATCAACTGTCTCTATATAAGAACCCAGTTTAGTCAGAGGCAGCTGGATTTAAACACAGGATCGTAACTGAGCCAGCTCCACACTCTTAAGTCACCCAGCACCAACGTTGTCAGGGTCAATAGAATTAATATTACCGAGTAGAATATTGAACAGTGGTGATATTTTTGTTCTTGTGCACAGTCTATTTGATTGCCTGTCCGATGAGAAACATTTAATACTTGTACATTTTTTTATGCATAGATATTGACTAATTCATTTTGCATGTATGTTGAACTTCTTTTGCACCGTTTATAGCCAATCATGCTCATCGGAGGTGTGGGGGAAGGACAACAAACTAAACACAAAAAACTATTCTTAAGAAATTAGTTTTTAATTTTTGGTTGTGCAAAAACAAACATAGCAACAATAAAAAAAATGCATTTAAGTTACAACAAAAACACCCCCATTCATCCGCTATAAAGCGTAGCAAATCAAAAGCTCAATGGCGGGTCGATCTGCCACGGCACACTGGATCATCACTCGCCGAGTTTGTTCTTCGTTTATTCGTGACCACCTCTCTCCTCCCCTTGCTTTCTCCCCCTCGTCTACTCCTGAACTCCCACGTAGCGATGAACATGTTCCGCGTAGGTCACACCGACCCGTCGCGGGGTCAGAGCATCACGCTCAAGGCCAACGACGCCTTCGGCAAACAGCGCTGGCTCGGCTGCATCCGCGCGGCCGTCGAGACCGCAGCGCGGGCGCACGCGAGCCCGCGTGCCAACGGAGCCGGCTCCGGCTGGTGCGCGGAGACGGAGGCGCGCTGCCCTCCCGCCCCTTCGTTCGGCGACCTCGGCGTCCGCCCTGAATCGTCGGAGGCGCCAAATTCGGCGGCACGCAGAGAAGGCGATGTGGCGTCGAGTCATCCGGCGACGTTGTCGACGGTGGCGGCGGCGATGAGTGAGCCGGCCGCCGGCGACGCCGCCGATTTCCCCACGGATTCGTGCTCAAGCGCTGAGGACGACGTTTCTGCGGGCGACGCGATGGCGAGAGACGGGATCGATGCGCCGCCCGTGGGATCGTCTGACGCGACTCCGACGAGCGATGCTACGACGTCATCTCGTCGTTTGGACGCGGCACACCGCTCGGCACAGCAATGCCTGGAACCTCAAGGCACGAGCGAGACTGCCCTCCGCGCCGCAGAGCCGCCCAGGACTAAAGACGTTTCCCCCGAGACCCTGGAAGGATCTGAGCTCTTCGGTGACACACCACAAAAGGACATCGTCGCTGTGTTAGAGACAACACTGCCTGCGGACGTGCAAGCCTCCGAGCAGGTGCCTACTGCGGCAGCTACAAATACTCAAGCTCTGGAAACGACGACGTCAGAAGCAGTCGGAGATCTGCACGCGGGCATACGGCCGACCTTGCTAAGTTTGAACTCCGGCGGAAGTTCGGCCATGGGGTCCTATGAGGCCACGTTAACGGCGGTTCCCGGCCCTCTGCGGTCCGGTGAGCGTAACATGAACTCCATAGCGAACATCTTCTGTGAAAAGGACCCAGAGCAGAAACACCTCCGCAGCATGCTAGAGGAGCAAACAACGAAACTCTGAATTAACGTTTCAGGGCGGTTTTTTTTTGAGAAGCGAAACGACAAACCTCGCAGGCCATCGCCGTGTGGTGGCGTGGCGATTTGACCTCCGCTGATGCGCGGGTGCGTGAGCTTTACGTGCAGTATTGCAGTTAATGCCTTGACAGTTGACAGGTGTTTTAAGTCAACGACTGAATGTGGGATTTTTTTTTTCAGCAGCACGACTTAGGCCCAAAATCTTTCGTTTTTTGGTCGACCGTGATTTGTAAGATGTTGCCTTGTTGCCTAAAGTAAAATGTAAAAAAATGGTATTCGTACGTCGAAGGCTGATTGGCTGACTGCCAATTAATGAAGCTGATTGGCTGGCCGTCTCATGAAGCCTGCCTCTTTACTCTTGATGGCTGAATTGGCCAGCTGCTGCGCGATGAACTGTGATTGGCTGGCGGTCATATGACGCCCGATTGGCTGGTGCTCACAAGCTGAAGGCCAATTGGCTGGCTGAGATCCACTGAAGTCTCATTGTTGAATGTGTCAATTTCATGATTCATGAAATATTTCACGTGTAACCACAACAGAATGAAAGCAAACTGGCACACTTGTGTTCTCAACCACGAACACAAGAATCACAACACCTAGTTGCATGACGCTGTGCAGATTTAGCACATGTATTTGTTACCCCAGTACGCACAGTACTGTATTAACATGATTCGCCCTGGCCTCTGAACCGTTATTTTAAAACGATGACAACGTTATTTTAATCCCGGCTGGGGAGGATGTGAGCTTGTCAAAATAGAATCCCATCGGAGCGCTTCCCCCCGTTAGGAAGTCCTGCGATGATTTGCGCGCACGAGGGCCAATGCCCACGAATGCACAATGCGAAGCAGGATTGATTTTTGTTGTTTGCAGGAAGTATAGCTGCAGGACTTGCGACATCTCTTCCTGTGCACGGGCCCCACTTGGGAGTTGCTGCCACCATACACACCTTCGCAACGTTGCAAATCCTATTAGCGGTCGTTTGATTTCCTACTCTGCTCTCCAGACTCTTTTTACATATCGTTCCTCGTGTGCTTCAATCGGGGTTCCTCAAATGCATGTTCGAGCGGGCCATGCAATTAGCGTGCGCTGGCAGGGCATGTGATGTATAATGTCATGCGTACCAGACGTTCCATCACATGATGCTGACATGGTGTTGTGAAATCATAACGGCTCTGCGTGTGGCCACTAATGTGTAGCTCATGCCTACAACTCTCTCATCTCTTGTTTAACTCTCAACTCCAATGTCTCGAGCGACTGGGCCTTTTCACTGACCTATTATTGTTTAAAGGTGCAGCCCTGGAATTGCTTGTCCATGCCACTGCTGTTGGAAGGGGCCTATATTGCAGGGAGCTCTGGAGAACCCCTTTAAAGGATATTTTTGCCTACCAGACGTCTTGGAAATGAGTACCACACATTTTTTTTCCACCACACGTGACCTAAAGATAACGAACTGTGCCGTACCCATTTCATTTGTACTGCTATATCGACAGAGGCAGGGAGAAACCTGAGCAACTTACTGAGCAACTTGCCCTTTGTTTTAGCTGCCATGCCACGAGATCGAACCGACAAACTCTACATTGGTAAATCCAGTGCGCTGAACATTACACCGTGGCAGCATTCCGGCGCACTAAAGCACTGTATAAGCGTGTCTGTTCTACATAGACAAAGTACTTGCTACCTACAATAGCATGGTCTGTTACCTGGGATGTCAGTAGCCTGCTGCTCAATAATCTCAGCCGGGGCTTAATTTCTCACTGAAGGATTGCATGCGACTACTGTAGTGGTAGCCACAGCCATAGCGAGAGGTGGTGTGTCGGGTGCGGAAACATATATTCCGGACCTCAGAGCTGGACAGCCCTGGCTGAAATTAAACCTCGGTACCAACAGGGTGGTTCCTACTACCGTGTGGTACCAGACGGTTGGACTTCGAAGTGATCTGTAGCCAGGATGGGTAAGGCATGGCAGAGTTTGCGCGTACGTAAAGTGTTGTTGCGTTGGTTCGTTTCGACGACTGCGTTTGTATGTTGTGCAGATAAATGAAAATAAATTAAATGTGAAACGATCGGACTGATATTGGTGCGTTCTTGCGTCAGCGCCACTGAGTTTGCACGCATTTTGCTGGATGTCAGACGACGATGGCTTAAATTGGCTTGTACTATTAAGGCTGGCACGGCACACACGGCGGTTGGGTGACCAGCACAACGCCCAGCTGCATTTATCAGCACAAGGCAGTGAGGCAAAAATGCCTTTGTATGGGACCATAAAAGTGCAGTAAGGCAACGGATTATGCTGCCCTGCCCTCTGCTGCCCACTACGTAGCCCCACGGCCACATGACACCCCCTGTTTGTGCATGGTGGTCGCCCATCGAAGCAATTAGCACTGCCCAGGCTCCATCTGCTTAGCTTTTGACATCTGGTGAGATCGGGTGCATTCCAGGTGAATTGGTCAATGGGTCGAGCAAAGCACAGGAGACCAGCACGTGGGAGCTTTGACTTAATGCAGGAAAATCATATCCGTTCAAGCACAGTTTGTAATACAGGTTTTTTTGGGTTAGATCGCATCAATATAAATGTGTCGTTAAACCCGCCACCACCCGACACAGCCAATTAATACGTTTTGTCACTTAAACAGAACGTGCCAATTCGTTACTAGTACAGCACACCGGTGTGTTGGAGAGCAAATCCACAACATTTATAATCTGAGTACGACGTTTCGCCAGTAATTACAACTAACTTACCGGTCGCGAAAGCCGACCTGCTTAACTCACGCAGTTTGTGCTGTTATTGTTTTAATGGAACGCCACCTGCTGCAGACTTCCAGCCCACCCCAGATTCGAGGGCGGTTTAAACGATCGTGATCGGGAGGACTCCCGTGACGAGTGTCCAGGGAGGCCCTGCGCAAAAAAGAGATAAGCGTCCCTTCACATCCGAGTTCGGAGACTTTTAAACAATGCCCGCTCGCGGCAAGGATGACGCCCGTGTCCACGTTGATAGTCGCAGCGATCACACCGCGCGTGTGCCAGCGTTGTTTTGCTTGGATGGAAGAACGCTTGACGATCCCAGCGGGGCTGCCACGTGTCCTGGGTTGGGGTGAGGGTTTCGAGTTTTGAGATAGGGTTGTGGGTTGGCGTTTTGGTTATAGGGTTTAGATTTAGGGTTGTTCGGGTTTGGGGTTAGGGCTAGGGGTTAGAGTTTAGGGTTAGCGGTAGGGTTAGAGTTTGAGTAGGGTTACGCTTTAGGGGTTAGGTTTAAGGCTATATGGTTGAGGACTTTAGGGTTACTGCGAAAGGGTTCTGCTGGATTTATGTGCACTGCAGGTTCTACACATGTTACATGATGCCCTCTTGTGGACAAATTAGGGTTTGGTTTAGGTTAGGGGTTAAGGTTAGTGTGAGGGTTATGGCAAGCTTTAGTAGTTAGAGCCAGCGTTTGTGGTTAGGGCTTTAGGGTTTGTGATGGATGTGCACTTCAGTTTTATACACGTCACGTGATGCCCTCTTGTGGACAAATGCACAACTACAGCGGCTGCCTTGCAAGGGACAAAACAGCCGAGCAGACGGCAGCCTCCACACAGTCGCCTCTCCACATGCACACTGCGAGTGGCTCGACTCATCCCATCAGCCGCACGCCCTTGCTTGAGTGCATCTCATCGGCAGCACTCTGATCCAACACAAGCAGCACCCCAGGACAGCCTGCGACACTCGGCGCCTCGTCAGCAGGGCAGGCTCACGCGAACCCAAGCAGGTGAACTGCCAGACGTTAGGGGCCGTCCATAAATGACGTCACGCGATTTTGGACAATTTTTTACCCCCTCCCCCGTCGTCACAAAAAGGCAGCACCCCCCCTCAAATATGACGTCACAAAGCTCTGCCCCCCCCAAAAAAACATGCTTCAAATCGCTTTAAACTATTGTCATTGTAGTGCGTATTTAATGTGGCGCTGCACTCTGATGTTGTAGGAGAAAACATTTATCAAAAAGTATATTTATAAAATAGAACGTGTTGTCTATATTTATTTAAAGTTACGCATTTTTATGTGACGTCACATTTCTCAAACCCCCCCCCCCCTCGTCACACATCGTCACAAATGTCTGACCCCCCCCCCCAGGTGCGTGACGTCATTTATGGACGCCCCCTTATTGGCAGGGAGCCACTCTGTGAGATATGGGTTCTTGGTGAGCACGTCGCTCCATAACGCTCACGGCTGCCCTGCTGATGCCCTGTCGTGGGGGAGAATGTCAGCTGCAGATTGTTTTTGGCGGGGGGGGGGGGTGTTAAGCTGCGTTGGCAGCTATGCAAGGAATTAACTCAATAAACAAAATCAAAATGTGTTGAGCAAACTCAACACATTTGTCAATAATTCTAACCCTTGACCAAAAAGAACAACAACAACGCGTACAGGCCACGTTTCTGCGCTATGAGCCATGTTGTCGAGCGGCGCTGCCTCTTCGTCAGCGACGAGGACGGCGAGCTGGCACCATCCCCGAGTGGCCCGGTTTGGTGGGGTGTGGCTTCTCTCGTGCCGCGACCTTTGCTGGGTTGGTGGTGGGGGGGATGGCACCGGAACCTGTCGTAAGCTAAATAACCTCGCCAACACGGACGCCCGTCGATACCCGAAGTGCCCAGGGCGAGGAGGAATGGAGACGCGTGGATGTTGCCTCACAGGGACCTCAATCACTGATCCGTCTGTCCTAATGCCTGGCTTCGACCTCCCAGGGCGCTGCAATAAGATACTATCGTTTAGTTTAACACGCAGTAGGCTTTCGGGACCAATATTATCTGTAATAGAGGGTGTTGTGGGTTAGATCGCGTAAATATAAATATAACAGGTATTGTGATTTTTTGCACCCAAAAACGGCAGAATGTACACACATCACGTACGTGCGTGACGAACATTAATGATGTTGATTAACTGTGAACAACCCAACCCATAATAGATATCCATAGCACCTGGTTGACCCACAAGTGACGTCATCACATGTATCCCCCGGAGGAGGATTTCTCCACAACTCTGGCTGTCGCCGTTGTAATTATGGGCGAAACGTCGCGGTACTCGGAGTGGACATGTGGTGGGCTTACTCCTGAATTAGTCACGGATTATTGCCATGTTTTGTTTACGTGACAAACCTTACTAAATGGGCTGTATCGGGTGGTGGCGGGTTTAACGACACATTTATATTTACGCGATCGAACACAAAAAACAACTCTTATGGAGAACAAAATCGTACAGCCGACGAAACCACCGATCACAGATTTGCCCATGCGTGGTGTTTGTGGATCGTGGATTGATTCCGCTCAGTCGATCCGGCAGCCGTCATTGAAAATGTCCGATTTTATCTTAAATTATGACATTTTGCCATTCACAAATCATACAAAACAAAGGAATTTATGTCCACTTTTTTACGTAAATATTTACATTAATTTGTTCATATAGTCGATAAGACTGCTTTGTTAAATAAAAAAATATTTGTTTATACTTATAAATACATTTTATGCTCAATGTACAATTTCATCATATCCGCGATTCAATGTATTCTGATGTCCTACTTAATCTTAATTCTATGAGTGCCCGATCTTGTGTTAAACTTCATGAAGTGAGTACTACACAAGACCATTGTATTCCGATGTCCGACTTCATCTTCAACTCGAATTTGTGTCAACGCTTGTATTCAACTTCAGTGAGTGCAAACAATGACTAACACACAAGGGAGATGTGACCAGCATCTCGAATGGTGCCACACTCTCCAGAGAAGTAGAACCACAAAGTCACACGCACCACTCACGCCTATGGCCCTCCGCAATCACGACGCACACACAGTCCAACCGTGCTCATCGGATGTATGGGGGACTGGACAAACTAAACACACACAAAAAACAGTTATACAGAAATTCGTTTTCAAATTGGATTTCAAAATGCATAGCTCCAGTGTCTTCCTAATATCGGAAGGAAAGACGGCCACAGACGCGCATCTGACAACGTGTGATACGGTGATCGCCTTTGTTCGATAGCTCGCCAAAAGCCGCTGCGAGGATGACTGGAGGTCGTGTGATAATTTATGCTCCTTGACGAGATCAACAAGGTATTGTGGTTCATTTGTGGCAAGCACTTTGTGTCCAATGAGTGCGCCTTATGATGCATCCGTTCGGTAACTGGAAGCCAATGCAGCTCGGTAAGCGCTGGACGCACAATGGTCGGTTCTTGCAGTACCCGTCACGACACGTGGCAGCGCGGGCGATGAATTGTCCAAAGAGTCGCAGGCCCCTGGCTCTAGTTCACAAAGCACCGAGTGTGTCATGCGAGGGTGAATACATGGAGTTGATATCAAAATCCATAACAAGGCACACAAACCCCACGATAGCACATATGAGGAGCGGACCTTGAGTAGGTGCCGTGTCAATCCGCTCACATTTATGTGCTGTGGATTTAAAGTGTTGTTATTATACATACGCACTTTGTGACGTCTGTGCACAACATATATGTACAAATACTACTTGCTGATAACATATTGAATGACTGTCTTTGAAATATATATGAGCAAGCCTTCAATCTATTAATAGTTTCTGGACTAGCCTCTGCTGAACACCGCTGAGCAGCTGTTAAAGTCTGGCCAGAGTGATTTCCATTCAGGCTATGCTGATTCCTTGTATACAGCCTTGAGTCAATGATGGCAATGCCACATTACTATGGCCGGGGGTGGGATTGACTACAACAGTAGCAGTCTGTTACATAACTTCGTCGATTTATCAACTCAATTGTCCCAGTTTTATCTTGTTTTATATTTACAGAGCACCTTTATTAAAGGCGCTTAACGTAATTAAAAAACGGTATAAGCAACAATGATTTAGATGGCAGAGGCGTGCAAAGGATGAGGAATGGGTGATTATAGCGGTTATAAAAGGGTAGAGGAGTGTAGGGAAGACATAGCAGCAGACCCATCCCTAGGATACCGCGAATCGGGGTGACTGCCCCAGGCCCCGCGCTTTGGGGTGCCCCGCGGTCAAAGGTGTCAAATGTAATAATGTACTTGAAGGAGTTGGGGTACCCACACGGTGTCAGTTACCCCGTGATCCGCACCCCCCCCCCCCCCCATTCACAGCCCAAGGTAACAGCGTCGCATTATCCCTTCCCTTATATATAAAAGGGAAATTTGTGAATGTGTGTCTGTTCGAAATGTTTAGCATACTTCCCGACATGCAACAAACTTGAAATTTGGCATGTGGGTAGTTTCCAGACTGTACACAATGTAAAACGTATAAAAATAGACTTTTGTGGGGGGTTTTTTGGGGGGGGGGGGCGCAATAATGGATATATTTTGCACGGCAAGTGAGCAGTGACGTCACATCTATGATGTCACCCGCATGCGGCAGCGTCACGCAGTGTGCCTGCTGACGTCACGCATCCCACCCTCTGGGTAGGCCGTATATTAATCCAAGACAATAATCCATGTCTCGGACGAAGCCGGGTAGTAAAGCTCGTTTTATATATATAAATAAAAATGCGTTTTCTTGCCAACTTTTCCAAAAAAAAACAACAATTCTATCCGAGACACAGATCTTAGCGTTGATACTGGAGAGTTGCATGGCAAGTTTTGTTGCGGGTGGCTTAAATCAGTTGTTTCTCAACTCCAGTCCGCACAAACAACCTTCACGATGCTTACCAAGCGTTGCCATTTGTCGTCTGCTGATTAAGCCACTAGACACCGCACTCATTATTAACGATAATTGCTTATTTACCCGGGAAAGCCATACTGACGACAGATTATACTCTTCTTTCAGGAGTGTCCTGCATTTGAATGTTTCGCCAATACAAATAATATACTAAAAAATGCAGGCTTCGTAGCCCATGCAATGGTTCATATTTGTTTTTGGGTTCTGGCCAAGTAGTAGTTTTATGGCAAGGACAATGAAAATACCACGTGGTCCAACCCAAAAACAAATATATAGATCACCAATTACATTGCACGCGATGTGTTTAACGATGGGAGAAACCCCGTGCGGAACAGAGCGAGAAAAGACAAACTCCCACACACAAAGGCGTTCGTGTCAGGAATCGAACCCAGGTCCTTCTGATTGCGACCCCCTGTTACCCACGTGGTGATTGGCAATCACGGAAAGCCGTGTCATGGGGCGGTCGCGAGGACTGAAGTTGAGAAGCTGAATTCGGGGTTTCGGAGGTTTCCCGGAAACGCAATTGCCCTCGGGCACGCGCGTGTACCAACATGTGTGTATGTTGAACTTATTTCGCACCGTACGTAGCCAACCGTACTTATCGGAGGTGCATCATATTTCGGCTGCGTTGAAAGTGTCAAGCACTGCTCTTTATAGCTAAAGCCAGGTTATATTTGTAATTATTTTCAAACTACACAACAAAACATACTTTGTAAATATGCCATCGCGTTTTGCCCTGACAGCTGCCTGTTTTTATGCTGCACATGAATTTTTTTTTTAATAAAAATAATTTAACATTCAAATAAAAGCAAAAAACCACGACGTTTCGATCGCTTGTGTATTTTCTACCTATGTGACTTTACCGAAAGAACCAATAATATGAATTCCTGCAGTCACGAAAGTTTTAAGTCCGGCATCCGTTCGTGGACATGGTTTTTCCACCATGTAGACAGACAAAACCTACGTTTAGACGTAAAGCGGCAACTGACCTTACATTTTGAAATTACATCCAGCAGTGGACAGCTCGTATCTAGCTGGTGACTACTATGTGGATTGTAGGAGGGTACAATTTAAGTGTCAATCCCGCCGTCGTATGCGTGGTAGTGGGTGTCACTGTGGTGAGATGTTAACTACCTCGCCTGGTATACTGGAGGCCGTGGGTTCGATGCCGTAACTAATGCCTGTATATTTGGAGTTTGCCTGTCTCTCTCCTCGTGGTCGCGTGTTTTTTTCTCTCCGGGTCTTCCGTTTTTTTTCCCTGCACATTTAGAATCAACATGCGTTTAGAGTATTTGGCTACAATACATTTCCACATGATATGCCACTCACTTTATTGAGCTATCATTTGTGGCCAGGTCGCTTCTGTAAAAGAGCTATATAGCTCAGTGGACCTTACCTGGTCAAATAAAAGTTTATATTCTTTGGGTCTTTCGGTAAAGTCACGTAGATAGGAAAAATAATTAAATAATAGCATACGACATTTCGATTGCAACACAATCAATCGTCATCAGGTACAAATGAAAGAGAAAATAAACCTAGTAAACTTAGAAATAGAATGCAAAACAACACAGAGAGTCGGCTAACATAACAGTCAACACCCTAACTGGTTGATTACGTTTATCCAAAGATTGCTAAATTTAAGAGAGAGACAAAATTTCACACTTCACTTCTATCTAGTAATCTTTGGAAGAACGTAATCAACCAGGTTATGCATTCATTGTGTGTTGACCGACTCTCTGTGTTGCATTGCATTACATTTCCAAAATTTTACGAAGTTTGTTTGACTAAGTGTGTTTTCTCTCTCTCTGTGTCCTCGTGTTCTTGCTCTATCATTTCCTGCAGTCACGAAAGCTCCAAATCTCCCATTGACATGCTAATTTCTCTACCCCCCCCTCTCTCTCAGCCCCCCTCTCTCTCTATTTAAGGCCTCGACACAGAGGCGTTGTTTCTTTGTGTGCCTATGTGTGTGTCTCTCTCTGTGTGTCTCTGTTATCTCTCTCTGCTTATGTGTCTGTCAATGTGTCTCCGTGTCTGTGTTTTGTCTCTCTCTCAAATTTAGCAATCTTTGGAAGAACGTAATCAACCAGGTAGGGTGTTGACTGTTATGTTAGCCGACTCTCTGTGTTGTATTGCATTGTATTTCTAAGTTTACTAGGTTTGTTTTCTCTTTCATTTGTACCTGGTCATGATTGCTTGTGTTGCAATCGAAACGTCGTATGCTATTATTTAATAATAATAAATCCTTCTACGTGACTTTACCGAACGAACCAAAGATTAACGGTAACTGTGTTCGTGAATGTAACTCAGAGAGTCGAAAATAACTGCTAATATAGGCAGGTAAGAAGGGAACATCACAGCCAGTTATGACCTAAACAAGTTAATAACGTCCTTGCTTCACAGTAGACATTAGATATCCCGTGCCGGCGATGTGGTCCAAATATGGCCAACCTTGAAAAAAAGTAAAAAATATTTCTAGACGGCAAAATTACTCAATTAGATTCGCACAGGGCAGCAACCATCGCCCCCACCACCCACAAACTGCGAAAACCTTCCAGGACTCTCCTGAAAAGTAGTCACGAGACTCGGTGAGGCTTTCTTGGGGAAGCGAGCAATACAAACCTTTCATGCCAGTATCAAAATATAACAGTTGGTTTTACCCTTTCTGGCAATAAAACAGGTGTTAGGATGTTAAAACACCAAACGTAATTCTTTTTTAATGAATCTTGTCTGCATTAACCACGCGTACTTGTGGTGAACATGTAAACAAAAACGTGTTCTGATAATTATATATATGGCATTGTTTTCTGGTCTAACACTTTGAGATTCAGATCAAAAGAAATCTGTCTTTGGTGTGGACCAATCAGTTCCAAAGACACCTCAATAATAGAGGGTTTTTTTGGGTCAGATCGCGTAAATATATAAATGTGTCGTTCAATCCCACCACCACCCGTCACAGCCAACTAGTAAGGGTTGTCACGTAAACAGAACATGCCAATTCGTCACTAGTGTGTTGGAGAGCCAAGCCACGACGTGACAAACCTGAGTACGACGTTTCGCCAGTAATTACAACTAGCTTCATCAGGCGACAGCCAGTTTCGTGGAGAAGTCCACATTTTTCGTTCCTCATGTAGAGGCGGAGATGTGGTGACCACGCTTCTGCGCCCTTGCGCAAAGTGGGGGGGGGGGGTGTTAATAAGTCAACGTTCATTATGCATGCGCATTGTGCGAGCACCTCCAAATGAGTACGGTTGGCTATGTAGACGTTCAATATCCATACAATATTCCATGTATGAAGGAGAGAGAGACGTGCATGTATGTATGATCTGTGGCAAAGGATTGTCAAGCAGTGCCCTCTAGCGGTGTTTGGTGGCAACTGGTCATTCCACATTACCAGTCCCCTCCCTCGCCAAACCAGTCGCTCGAGACCTTCTCCGGATCGAATTCCTGCCGTAATCTCCCCTCCTCCCCTCCTCCTCCATCCCTCCATCCCTCACATTCCTTTCACGTTACACAGGCGGCTCGCACCCAGAAGCTCGTCACTGACACCTCATTGCCCGCCCCTTATAAATATACTTTACAGAGAGTTAGCCACAAAGGAGGTCGTCCACTCTGGCTGCAGTTGCTGCTGCTACCGAGTACAGAGCAACGAACCCTGTTGAACCCCGTGACATCAGCCCGCATATACACACGTACACACACACACATACACACACACACCTACCCACACACACCTACCCACACACATATACCCACACACATATACCCACACACATATACCCACACACACACACCTACCCACACACGTACCCCCACACACACCTACCCACACACACACACCTACCCACACACACACACCTACCCACACACATACCGTCGAGATGGACGGTGACGAGTTCAACATACTGCTCGCCACCGATTCATACAAGGTGAGGCAGTGTCACTGACATACTGCACACACACACACGTCTACATATATGTCCACGTGTGTAAAGCACGTGTGGGGAGCGGTGGCGCAGCGTTTAGCGCACGCGGCCAACACCAGTAGGTTGGCGATTATCTGAACCTCCTCCCCTAGGTCGACTCGGCCTCAAATGAGTCCTGTACCCACTTGTAAACATCACAACTGGGGAGACAAAGGCGATCGGGCGTGGTGTTGATCACCCACTCGTGTGCCCGTTTCGGCCTTAATAGGTGCTCGCTAACAGCAGTTTTCCCAACAGCCTGCTCGAGACAACACGACGGGAGTACATGGTTTGTGTCTTCATGATCATGATGATGATGTTGATTTATATCCTGGCTATATATATAGGATGCACATGTCTTGCGGGTTGCATTACGTACAACTGGGTGTATTGCCAGACTGGCCGCGATATGCAGCGATACGATATTTGTACAGTTAATACGATTATCACGATATCGTGTATCCACGGCCACCCCCATTGCATCCGCCGATGGCTCCGCGTCGCGTCTGTGCTATTATCTAATCCCGGAGCAAAAAGAAAAACTTTCAAAAAATCTAAACTTAAAAATGTTTTTACCAGGTAAGGCCCCACTGAGCTGTATCGCTCTTGTTCAGAAGCGACCTGGTAAACACGAACGATAACCCAATGCAGTGGCTTATCGCGTGGAAATGTATAGTAGCAGACAAATACTCTAAACCGGTGGTTCTTATTCTAAACCTGGGGTGCATCACGCAGCCCCTGGGGGTGCAAGACACGGCCACATTTTTTTTTAAGGTAACACATTCCTGCGGAGGGAGCTGGTAGGAACGTTGGGTTGCTCAGTCAATGGCCAGGGTCAACAGCGGCGTGGTGTATTCCGCAAATATGCCCGACTGTGAGGGCGGGCACAAGCCGGCGTGAGTAGGTTAAACTTTGAGGTTTATCAGTGCACCACGGGGTGACCAGCCCCTCCCCACCCTCCCCACCAAGCCCCTCCCCACCCTCCCCACCCAGCCCCTTCCCACCCAAACCCCACCTTCCCACCCAGCGCCTCCCCACCCTCCCCTCGCCACCCTACCCCTCCCCAACCTCCCCTCTTCATCCAGCCCCATCACTCCCATTTTTGGATGCACGACGGACGGACGGACACAATAATCCCCTGTGGGCTAGTGGAACCAGGAGGTTCCTACCAGTATCATCAAAACACAAATTAAGCACGGGCACGTAAGTACAATTATTTTGTTTCATCAAACCCTAGGTGTTTATACATTATTGTTTTTAAGATTGAGAATCAAAGGGGTGCAAGGCTGCAGTAAATGTTAAGAACCACTGCTCGAACGTGTGATGTTGACTCTAAATGTGGAGGGAAAAACCAGAAGACCCAGAAAAAAATCCATGCGACCACGGGGAGAGAGACACGTAGGCCTCGGCAAGGTAAGGTAAAAGGTAAAAACAACAAGCCTACCTTTACCCTACCCTTTACCCTTACCCCATACAAATTACCCGATCACAGGGTAATTACTGGGGTACTACACATGAAAAAGGTTTATGACAGGTAAATGTTAGGTAGAGCGCGTTAATCATATAGAATACTCTTGATAATTCCAATTTTAAATGTAGGCCACGGACTGCGCCACGGAGCTTTTAGCGAGCGGCAAACAAGGTGTTTACCGGGTAATACTTCGCGCTAACTTTTCCCTACCCTTTAACTTACCCCTCTTACCTTACCTTGCCGAGGCCTAGAGACACGCAAACTCCAAAAATACAACAGGAGTCAGGATTGGGATCGAATACACGACCTCCTGTATACTAGGCGAGGTAGTTAACATCTCTTAGCCACTACGGTATCTGATGCAAGTTCTGCACAGTTCACCCAACAACATAAACCGAACGTATGCACGAACATGGTGGTCCACATGTCTTAATTAATTGACCCCGAACATATTTCTTCCTTTGCATATTCATTTCTGTTCGAAATAAACCTTACTTAAACAAACATTATGCTTTAGAGAATTAAATGAGGGCCACAAGATATCTGGACCACCCTGTGTACATCCTCGCTGCGACTTCACAACCTTACCATCAAATCAGTGCTGTCATTGTTCACTGAGGTGGTTGAGCCAGACGATTGCGGCAGGAGGAGCGCAGCGGATCGCTGTGATGATTCCGATTTTGCTCGGGCGGTGGTGGCTTCTTTTGGGCACTGTTGTATGTGCGATGTAGATACACATGAACCTTATGGCGGTACCCCGGGATTATAGTACCCGGGCCCTCGCATAATGTCCACGATGCAGTCATTTTTAGTCTGTTGATGGTCGGCGATGTGGCAATCGACTCCTCTCGACGAGCTGTACACGATGCACTATTCAAAGTTAAATAGTGCATCGTAGCACTGATTGGTACCCCAGTCGCGGAGTTAAGTACACCCCTGGAAAAAAGTGACCCCGGGGTTACCGCCATAAGGATCATATACATAGGTACATGGGCAGCGGTTGTGTAGCGGTTAGCGCGCTGCGCTACGAACCCGGCGACTCGAGTTCGATACCCGCTCACGGCCAACACCGGTGACGATTATCTGAACTGGTCCTGGGCCTCCCCGAGGTCGACTCAGCCTCAAATAAGTACCTGGTGCGGTGTGTATAAACATCGCCACTGGGGAGACAAAGGCGGTCGGGCGTGGTGCTGGCCACCCACCCCCTCGTGTACCATTCTGCCCTTCATAGGTGCTACTCGCTAAAAGCACTTGCTCCAACAGTCTGTGCAGGCTATACGGGGGATCTTTGTATTTGTACAGAAAGTGGACCCATCGCAATCCGTTTAAATCTGCACGGGGATAGGGCGTTGCTACCTTGATTGAGGCGTGGGGTTTTCTCCAGGTGCTCCGGTTTCCTCCCACACGTGTTTTGCAATAATAATCATAATGTTAAACACAACTCGTCGTTAATAGGCTAAAAACATCTTACAACTAAACATTCAATGTAGAGACAGGACCCTCCTGAAAACCAATCCTACCACTTGGTGTGGCTCTCCTGTATAAAGAAGTCAATGTTATCATTTGTGAACCGAGCCATTGAGTCGTTACACATTCCACGGTGCTGTTAGGGGTGGTGATCACGTTCAGCGCACACTGACCGGGGATATTTTATTATTCCATTTGTACATCATGCGTGTATGCTGAACTTCTTTCGCACCGTACGTACCCAGTCGTGCTAATGAGAGGACAACAAACAAAACACTAAAACAGTTAAAAAGAAATGCGTTTTCAATCTAGATTTAAAAGTGCAATCTGGATCACAACCATGTACAACCCGCATCTGCTGCTGTGGTTTGTGGAGTGGATGAGGTTTAGCGGAGCCCCATGGGCTTCACGGTGGAAGATCACAGACTGGGCGATCTCCTGCGAAGTCGGGGGCTCCTGAGCGAGACAAGGAGTTCGTGACTTCTTGTCAACTCCACTCGGCCTTCCAAGCAGCAGCAGCAGCATCGTCATCAGAGTAGAGAGGCTCTTATTAATATATTACTATTTGATTCACTACATAAATAATGATCTCGACAATGAAATAATTTCATCAAATCAAAAGGATTCATTGACAATCGTTTACCTGTCCCGGGAATAGTGTTTCCTGAACGCCCGTGTCTCGACAATTACAGCCCTTGATCAATACACTGCTGGATTAAGGTCTTTCCACGCTGTATTGTTACGGGGGGGATTGGTTGACAATACTTCACCACACTGGTCAGTGCGGATTTGATGCTTAGATGTGGGCCGGAAATCGAACTCATGTCGCTGGATTCAGAGCACGATGTAGTCCCTACTGCGCCACCGCTCACCCTGCAATGCAAGCACAATGATTAAATTGTCGCCCGGCTAGAGCGCAGGAAGAGCGTTCGTAAAAAAAAAAATCTCAACACATTCGTAAATAACACTGCGTGTGTGTGTGTGGCCTTGAAATGAAAAAAATATATATAATAGGCGATGTTTCGGGCAATGTCCCTTCATCATAGCACCTGTGTGTGTGCCGTGTCCTTCATCACAGCACCTGTGTGTGTGTGCTGTGCCCTTCATCATAGCACCTGTGTGTGTGCTGTGTGTGTGATGTGATCTTCATCACAGCACAGTTTGTACTTTTGCACCACTGCTAATGAATGCAGCAGCATGACCGAATGTTTTGTATTTGTGTTGGAAATTTTCTCCCAAATTTATTATGGCACAACACCTATGAAAATAGACTCTGACAAAGCTGCCCGACTTTTGCGGTGATTGGGGGAACATTTGTTGAAAGTACCTGTCTTATTTCACAGTTTTCACTACAGTATCTGCATATGAACTTACATCGGTCGATGCGTTAATCGTGGACTTTACACAGTACGATATACCCCTCATTGCCACATCCCTAGCCATGAATACGCGACAACGATGGCCCAGTGTTTACTACCGTCGGTGGAAACTATAAACGGGTTCAATCCAACAGCGCACACACAAAAAACCGAATGGGCAAGAGGCACTCAGCCTTTGCGCATTATGTCAAAACCAAAATGCAGTTGCTGAAGAACTGCATCGTGACCGCTGTTTGTTAACCCGAGATGTTAACTCCCTCGCCTGGTATGCAGGAGGTCGTGGGTTTGATCCCGACCCTGACGCCTGCTGCTGCTGTATATTTGGAGTTTGCGTGTCTCGCTCCCCGGGGTCGCGTGGCTTTTATTCCGGGTCCTCCAGTTTTCCCCTCCACATTTAGAATCAACTTGTGTTCAAGAGTATTTGCCTGCTATGCATTTCCACGTGGTGACGATAAGCCACTTCGTTGAGCTCTCATTTGTGATGGCAGGTCGCTTCTGAAAAAGAGCTACACAGCTCGGTGGGCCTTGCACCTGGTACAATAGAAACAGTTTAGGTTGGTTTAGAAATAAGATAAAAACAGTTTCGTTTTCAGTTCAAGGTGAATTCGAGCGATTTTGACTGCTGCTTGCAACGACAAAACGCGAGCTTAGTTTATCGACGGAACCCTTTTTGCTGTTGCCAGTATCAAGATCCTGAACTTTGTGTGGCCTAATTGAAACCAAACTTTCTGTGGTCTTTCCCCGCACACGCTCGTGTTGTTGTTGTTATTGATGATGATGTTGTGGTACAGTGGTTGTCATTCATTTGCCCTTTAGCCATGCGCCAACATGGTAAGGACAACGCGCACTGTGCCAAACATGCTGTTATCGTTTTGTTACTGTACATCACGGACGGCAGAAGGCCCAAAACACACAATTTAAGAGTTGTAATGGATAAAAAAAATAGTCAATACGTTTCTTCAATTAAGAAAGGTTATTATTATTTTAACAAGTGATGAAAAATAAGAATAGTTGTTTTACATTTTATGGCAATAAAACAGGTGTTAAAATGTTCATTTTTGATACTGGCAAAAGGGTCCCATAGATATTGTAAAGAGGTTGGCAAAAGAGACAATGGAAGGGAATTTCCAAGGAGAGCAGTGCGCGGGAAGAAGCAAAAAGAGCTGTGATGTGATCTGCAGTATGGCGAGTGGCTGAATGAGTGGCTGAGCGAGTGAGTTGTTGTGACCTGCAGTGTGGTGAGGGGCTGAGTGAGTGAGTGGGTGAGTGTTGTTGTGATCTGCAGTGTGGCGAGTGGCTGAGTGAGTGAGTGGGTGTTGTGACCTGCAGTGTGGCGAGTGGCTGAGTGAGTGGCTGGGTGAGTGTTGTTGTGACCTGCAGTGTGGTGAGTGGCTGAGTGAGTGAGTGGGTGAGTGGGTGTTGTGACCTGCAGCGTGGTGAGTGGCTGAGTGAGTGAGTGAGTGGGCGAGCCAGTGAATGGTAGAGTGAGTGAATGGGTGAGTGAGTTGTTGTGACCTGCAGTGTGGTGGTTGAACATAGCGTGGATGAGACAAAATAGTCTGTGTCTGGTAGACCAAGTCCTTAACATTAGTGGAAAACCATGGTAGTAGCGATAAAAGGCCGAGGAATCCAACATAATGGGTCATCGCCAAATTGCCATACACATGCACAGGGCAGCAACTGCTTGGGTAACTCTGCTTGCTTGCCATGTGCTGGCTTGCCGGGAGAAAGCGTGAGCTGACGCACGTGCGTGCTACTGACGCTCGCGCCGGGAGCCCGTGACGACAGGGATGGCCCCGCGCCTGGTGGGTGTTGCGTTACTCAGCGCCCAGGGGTCACAGATCAGACTGCACACCCCGCCACAGGCTTCTATTTACTACTAGAATGAGCCAAGAATGTCTGTGTGTCCCGCGCGTGACGTCACTCCACGTCGACCAGCCCCCCTCACTAATAATCATGAACAGGTGACGTCCTCCACATGGACCCCCCCCTCATTAATAAAAAATCATGGGTGGGTGACGTCACTCCACATGGGGGGGCGAGGCGCCTCCTGCCCCCTCCTCAGCGTCAACTTACAACCCTCACTACAAAGGTAGAACCCTCACGTCACGCGATCTCCGTAACGCTGTTGAGACATAGAAGTAAAAAGTACGTCATGATGAACAAGGGATTATAATCTTTAAAAGATATAAGTCTGTCACCGTGGCCTTAAAAAAGTTGGTCCAACAGGTTTACAAAAATTGTCGACATGCCCCCAATGTTTTTTTTCACTCCCCATCCCCCCCTCCCAAATTTGTCTTTTTTTAATTTTGTAGGCATTCATGCCTATACACCATACATGCAATAGAGTCAGTAGTATCTACAATAGAGTCGGTAGTATCTGCACACTGGGGGGGGGGGGGGGGGTGGGATGAAGAGGACATCAGTGACAACGACAGGTGAGAAGTCCTCCACAGGAGCTAGAATAAGGCGGCCTGCGGGGAGCTTCTCGTGTAACAAAACTGCGCGCCTATGTGTTAAGAGTCCTTTTTGTCGCTCCACTGCTAGATGAGTGCCTCTGCACGGCTCGTCAGTGCCGGGTGGTAAGCCGGGGGGGAGGGGAGGGGGGAAAGCGGGGAAGTTCGGATGTCACGTGCCACTGATGTTAGCTGTTAAAGTTGAAGAGGCCAGGCCGAGTCCGATTACGCCCGAGGGAGGACCTGGTGTCGCCTAAATGGGCACAGAAAAAAAACAATAAAAATTAGAACAAAAATCAAAATTAAAAACTGTACCACACAACTAGGAATGGAAATCGTTGCACGAACACAATTGGCCATAGTAAAAATTACAAAACTAAGCCGCCGGAATCCATCCGAGTCATGGTTAGACTCCTGCAATGATCTCCTCTTTGGACCTCAAAAAAAAAGAAAACTTTAAAATTCTCGCGCTCGCGAGGATCCGGAACAAACCTTGGCTCGAGTCGTCGCCCGGTCACCAACATCTACCGCCAACTCGGCCACTGCTAGAGCCGGTTCGCCAGTATGGTGCAGAATCCAGGACATTAATAACATTTTGGCCCTTCCGACAGCTCAACGAGAAAGCGTCACACTCCAGGTCCGTCGTGAGCTGAAGGTTCGCTTCGCCAGCCTAGCTGGAAACCCGCTCAGCCAAGGTCTACCGCCAACCGTTCTAATTGGAGGTGCGGGAGGGAAGGACAACAAACTGAACACAAAAAGCAGATTTAAAGAAATTAGTTTTCAATGTAGATGATTTAAAAGTGCATACCTCCAGTGGCCTAATATCAGATAGAAGAGCATTCCAGATGGCTGCAGAAGCGCATCCGATAGCACGCAATGCGGTGACCACCTATCAGGCGGGCAGCACACCGTGACTGCGGCTCCTTCCAAGATGGAAGAACTCCAAACGTGAATATACACACGTGTGCTCCCGGTAGCCGAGTTCAAGCGAACAGATTGACCAGGAAGCGCCCCACAGAGTTTTTGGAACCGTGGTATTGGATCGACATTGGACAGATTGTTGTTGTTATTAAGAGAAAGCAACGGTCGAGAATGCGTTCGTCTGGGAATCCAACCACTTCTAAACACTGCTTTCTTCTGTTCCTGCTGCCGGTGGGTGGACCCCCCTCCCCCCTCCACCATTTCTCATACAGGTGTCGCACTACCGGCAGTTTCCTCCCAACGTCACCAAGGTGTACTCATACTTCGAGTGCCGGGGGAGAGGTCATGTCAGCAGCCAAGCAGAGCCCCACAAGTTCACCGAGTCGGTCTTCTTCGGGCTACAGTACACGCTGAAGAAGTACCTCTGCGGTGAGTTCCAAATAAGCTTCTGCAGGGTTTATCGCTACTCCCTCGGTGACTGTTGCTGGGATCGCTCGTTGAGTCCTCCACCCGTGTTGAGGTATCACCCAGACACGGACGTTTTCGTCTCAACCACCACCACACTGTGTTCAACCACTAACACACTGCAGGTCAACAGCTCACTCACCCACTCACTCAGTTACTCATACACCCAATCTCCAAACTCAGTCGCCATACTGCAGGTCACAACAGCTCACTCACTCACCAAGTTACTCACGCACCCACTCACCCATTTGTTCACCATTCACACGAACGCGTCTCAGGAATGTAACCCCCCGTTCGTCGAGGACTGCCTGTACGCGAATGGGCAGTGTGCAAGCAGCTGGTAAGCTTGTCGCGTGTGCCCGGTACCGAGATGACATGAGGAGATGACAGAGCTTGGAGACCGGTTGGACTTGTTGAGTGCAGGTCAGGTGGTGACAAGGGAGAAGATCCAGCAGGCCAAGGAGATCTACCAGCAGCACTTCCAGCAGGACATCTTCAACGAGGATGGATGGAATTACATCTTGGAGGTGAATGTGGACGGTTGTTTAGGTCCAGGTCCAAACTCGTGTATGCGAATGACCTCCTATCAAGTCGGTATCTTCCAGTTAAAATTCACCTCCTTGCTGTGTTGCTTCGTTGGCATGCGACGGATTGTTCATTAGCTTTGATTTTGCTTGCGTCCGTTCGTCCCATATTATCTCCAAATGAATCGGTATCTTGCCATGAGGCGGAGATTCCACTTGAACCCAGACTAGATGCAGTTCGATTTAAGTCTCCCCCTTTTAAGTCGTTTTGCAAATACGTCGTCACTTTATGATTAACACCACCGCCTGAGTTATGTTGCCTCAACCCCATACTTATTTCACTGACAGCGGTGCCAGGGTGGCAAGATGTTAACTACCTCGCCTGGTATGCAGGAGGTAATGGATTCAATCCTGACCGTGGCGCCTGTATATTCGGAGTTTGCATGTCTCTCCGTGGTCGCTTGGATTTTTCTCCGAGTCCTCCGGCTTTTCGATCCTCATTTAGACTCAACGTGCGTCCGGTACCACCTGGGGTGGCATAGCTTTTGCGGCTACAATTTCTTTGTGTGGCCAATATCAGGACATGATATTGCTAACCACTTTGAAATGAGTGCGGTTATCAAGTGATTCCCTCACATTAGCCGTATGCATGAATTCTAAAGTTTTGATCACCTGAGGCAGTACCCATTTCTGCCCGAGGTTCTAAGACCTCCCACCCCCACGTTAGAGAACAGTCCACAGAAGCGGATATCGTAAAAGTACATCTGAGATTCCTTCATGTTGATGGATATTTTTTATTTTTATTTTACCAGGTAAGGCCCACTTAGCTATATAGTTATGTTTCAGTTGCGACCTGGCCACATATGATAGCTCAACGAAGTGACTTATCACGTGCAAATTTACAGCAGCCAAATACTCTAAATACAGGTTCCTAGTCCTACCAGGCAAACGGATTCCACTTAGTCATTTCCATTCGAGATGGTGCCGGATGGAAGCATGAATATGACTATGATGACGACGTTAATGACGACAATGATGATGATGATGATGCTATGTTCATGGCAGCTGCACGGGGGTTGGCTCCCAGTTCAGATCACGGCGGTGTCTTGAGGCAAGTGTGATGATGACGACGATGATGATGACGACGACGACGATAATGACGATGATTACGATGGCGATGATGGTGATGGTGATGATGATGATGCTGTGCTCGCGGCAGGAGCATGAAGGGCGGCTGCCGGTTCGGATTAAGGCGGTGCCGGAGGGAACCGTGGTGCCGCTGGGGAACGTGCTATTCACCGTGGAAAGCACCGACCCCAAGTGTTTCTGGATCATCGGGTGGCTCGAGGTGAGTGGGGCGCTCCCAACCCCCCCCCCCCCACTGCCTGCAGAGCCCCTTGGTGATGGGTGGTGAGATGTTATCTTCCACGCCTGGTATGCAGGAGGTCGTGGGTTGGGTCCTAACCCTGGAGCTGTATATTTGGGGTTTGCATGTCTCTCTGTCCCCATGGTCGCGTGGATGTTTCTCTGGATCCTCCGGTTTTTCGCTCCGTATTTAGAATCAATATCACGCGTTTAGAGTATTTGGCTGCTATAAATTTCCATGTCATTAGCCACATCGTCGAGCTATCAAATTGTGGCCAGATCGCTTCTGAAAAAGAGCGATGTAGCTCAGTGGGCTTTACCTGGTTAACACAAAAATAGTAAAAAAATTAATTGTTTGTTTGCTCTACCCAACACAGACCATCCTGGTACAGACATGGTACCCCATCACCGTGGCGACGAGCTCGCGGGCGCAGAAGCAGCTGCTGGCGCGCTACTTGTGGCGGACGGGCGGCAGCCGCGCCCTGCTCGAGCGCCAGCTGCAGGACTTTGGGTACCGCGGGGTCTCTTCCCAGGAGGTGGGGCTGACCACTGAAGTCATCGGACAAAGACGGTCACCGCATTTGCGCGCTTTCAGATGTGCTTCTGCAGCCATCTGAAATGCTCTTGCTTCCGATATTAGGAAGGCACTGGCACTTTGAAATTTTAAATGACTCTAGATTCACAGCTCATTTCTTTAGAACTGATTTTTGCTTTTAGTTTGTCCTTCCCCTGCACTTTTGATTAGCATGGTTGTCAATGTATGGTGTGAAAGAAGTTCAACATACATGCATAGACTCACACAGAGACCCATAGACTCACACAGAGACCCATAGACTCAAACGTACATCTGTCATTGCAATTACGGTCCTAGTAATCGTCGTTGTCATTGTGGTCAGCACAGCAACATCAGTGGCTCGGCGCCCAATGGCAGTAGCATCATCGCCGTCATTTCGGTCGTCGCTGTCTTCGTCCGTGTTGTCATCACTGTTGGCAGCAGCAGGCATAGCAATAGCAGCACAAGCACTATGAGCAGCAGCAATATCATCAGCAACATCATCACCTTCAGCGGCAACAGGGTGGGCGCAGTGGTAACCCTCGCGCCTCACAGCAAGAATGCCCTGGATTCGATTCCCAACTCAGGCGCCTATCAGTGTGGAGTTTGTACATTCTCCCCCACCCTGTTCTCCGTTGGTTACCTCCGAGTTCTTTGCTTTCCTCCCATAGCTATAAATAAACACATCCAACTAGAAACTGGTATTGGCAAAAATAAAAATGTTATTTACAGCTATGAGCTTCTTTTTCAGAAGCGACCTGGCCACAAATGATAGCTCAACAAAGTAGCTCATTATGTGTAAATTTAAGGCTGCCAAATAATTTAAATCATCTGAAAGCAAGTTTCTAAATGTGAAGGGAAAAAAAACGGAGGTTTTTTTTATCGTGTGTCCCTTCGGTATGCTTTAGAGCATTGCCCCCTTCGTCTCCATTAAATCTCCGAGTGCGCCGGTTTCCTGCCACGTGCATAAACACCCACCAATTGGCGCGATCCCAGACAGCGGCTATCGGCGGCGCGGCGCACCTCGTCAACTTCAGAGGCAGCGACACCATGGCCGGCGTGATGCTGCTGCGCCGCTACTACGGCTGCCCCATGGCCGGACACTCCATCCCCGCCGCCGAACACAGGTGACCCCGATCACAGCTGCGCCTCTGGAGAGTCGTCGCCTGTGCCACTTGTGCCACGTCTGCCACCTGTGCCACCTGTGCCGCCTGTGCCACCTGTACCACGTCTGCCAACTGTGCCGCCTGTGCTGCCTGTGCCGCCTGTGCTGCCTATCCCATCTGTGCTGCTTCTGCCACCTGTGCCACCGGTGCTGCTTGTGCCACCTGTGCCACCTGTATCGTCTGTGCCACCTTTGCCACCTGTCCCACCAGTGCGGGTTCGACCTGGGCAGGCCAGGAAATGGCAGCTGAGTCTGGGTGGGCAAGGATTGATTTGTACTGCGATCTGGTGGCGGTGGTATTGTTTCGAGCTTGAGTACGGTACGATCAATGATTGGTTTCTGCTTGGGTGTAGATCGTGTGGGTATCAGGTCAGTTAGAGCTCTCCACCATCCAAAATCAGGTTGTCACCTGGACAAATGTGCCAACTGATGTTGTGTTTTCTCCAAACTGGTGGCAAAAGCAAGTGATATTTAAGAATTTTGCATATGATATGTCGTCGGTGTTAGCAAGAGCTCAGATCACTTCGATCACTGAGCTCTAAACTCAGATCACCAAAATCACCCTGATCAGATTTGCTTCCTTTTTAGTGTAATAAATATCAACAAATATCCACTGAGCCACCTTGGTGGACAGTGAATATCTGCTGAGCCTCCTTTTTGGGAACAAACGGTTGTTGGCACGGTGGGACCCACCGTCGTGGTGCTACTGTGCGGCCAGCAGCACGGTGACGGCGTGGGGGCGTGAGCGGGAGGGCGCGGCGTTCCGCCACCTGCTGCAGCAGTTCCCGTCGGGCGCCGTGTCCGTGGTGAGCGACAGCTACGACATCTTCCACGCGTGCCGCGAGCTCTGGGGCCGCGAGCTGCGGACACTCGTGGAGGAGCGCAGCCTGGTCGGGGGGCAGCTCCTCATCCGCCCTGACTCGGGTGACCCTGCCGACACCGTGCTCAAGGCAAGGCGAGGCGGGGCGACAGTTGTGGTGGTGGTGTTGGTGATGACGGGCGAGTGTATGTATGTTGAACTTTTTTTGCACCTTACCTAGCCAACCGTGTTAATCGGAGGTGCGTACTACCACTGTAACGACAGTGGAGTGAGAGTGTAGTGACAGTGGTAGTTGCGGTGATAGTGATACAGAACCGGACCCCATTGCTAATCGTGGCCTAGAACTGGGCCATTCCTGAGCTAGTTGCTGTTCCCGTAGCAACATTGCACTCGACTGGCAGACCGGGGGCAGCTGCCACCGGGGGTCCCCTTGGCTAGTCTGTGGCAAGACGCTTCCAGACGTCCTGCACGGGAGGTGCAGCATACACATAAAATAACGACGACGATGATGGCAACATTCGCTCTGCAGGTGTTGAACATCCTGGGCAAGGCGTTTGGCACGATGGTGAACGAGAAGGGCTACAAGATGCTGCCGGATTGCCTCCGCATCATCCAGGGCGACGGCATCGACATCAGCTCCCTCAAGCGGGTCAGGAGAGATCCCCACTGGGTGGCCCTCACTTCCGTGTTCCCCGTGCCCCCCTCCACCCACTCCTCCGGTCCTCCCGCTCATTCTGTCCCTTCCCCCATCGGCCCTACGGACAGTGGGGGACGGCGCACCCCCTGCCAGCGATGTCGGTGGCGTCTCCCTGGCTCCGCGCATCGCGTCCCCTATCAGAGACGTCCGTGGTCGTGGCTTTAATTCCATTTGGAGCTGTCCGTGATATTTACTCAAAAACGTGTTAGTCCGTGGGCGATGTTAGTCCGTGGGCGATGTTAGTCCGTGGGCAATGTTTGTCTATGGGCGATGTTAGTCTATAGGAAATGTTAGTTTATGGGCAATGTCGATCTTTAGGCAATGTTAGTCTATACTCTTAGTTCTTTCGGTAAAGTCACGTAGGTAAAAAATGAAATTAAAATTAATAAAAATAAAACAATAAAATCACGACGTTTCGGAGGCAACACAAGTCTCCGTCATCAGGTGGGACGGTCACAGCCAGATTTGCTGCATCAAGTGAGGCAAGGATTCAAGATGCAAGCCCTTAAATACAAGTTGGGGGGGGAGGAGAGGGGGGGGGAGCTTTTCAGAATGTGGTAGCCAATGAATGGAACGTATCGGGAGGGAGGGGGGCGGGGCTAAAATGTCTAGCCAATACGTTAGCATGTGCAACAATAGTTACTTGCACACAAACACGTCCACGTCGCCGACGCCTACGTAGCACTTCGTGCCTTCTTTTAGCCCTGCCCCCTCCCCCTCCCGATACGTTTTACGCAGCACTTCGTGCCTTCTTTTAGCCCCGCCCCCCTCCCTCCCGATACGTTCCATTCATTGGCTACTACATTCTGATAAGCTCCCCCCCCCTCTCCTCCCCCCCAACTTGTATTTAAGGGCTTGCATCTTGAATCCTTGCCTCACTTGATGCAGCAAATCTGGCTGTGACGGTCCCACCTGATGATGGAGACTTGTGTTGCCTCCGAAACGTCGTGATTTTATTGTTTAATTTTTTATTAATTTTAATTTCATTTTTTACCTACGTGACTTCACCGATAGAACTAAGAGTATGAATCCTTGCAGTCACGAAAGCTTCAAATCTATAATGTTAGTCTACATCTCTATCTATATGAGCTGTGTCCTTTTTAAAAAACGTCGGCAATCCTCGCCTTCCTTCCATTTAGCGCCGTCCGTATTACTCAATATCATTGTATAGGATGCTCCTTCCATTTGCATCCAGTTGTTCAAGTCGCATCTGTAACTTAATTCCTTGCCTTCCTCAGCTACTTGTGGTGCCTAATAATTGTCCCAGTCAAAATTCACTTATATTATTTATCGTTTTCTCATCACATGTTCGAGATATCCAACATTGCCTTTTCTTATCGTTCTTGTTATGTACATGGCTCGCTATCCACCGGCAGGTTCTGGACGCGGTGGAGAATGCCGGCTGGAGTGCTGCGAACCTGTACTTTGGGAGCGGCGGTTCCCTGCTGCAGAAAGTCAACCGTGACACCCTCAACTGCTGCTTCAAGTGCAGCTACGCCGAGTTCGACGGACAAGGGGTGGGCGCCAATGGCAAAGATCCCCCACGTAGCCTTAACGGACCTTTGGGGCAAGTGCCGTTGGTTAGCGAGTAGCACCGAATGAAGGCCGGCATGGCACACGAGAGGGGGCAGGTGGCCAGCACCACAACCAAGTGACAATGTGTGCACACCGCACCAGGTGCTCATTTAAGTCTGAGTCCATCTAGGGGAAGCCCAGGTCCGGACAGACAGGTGTACAGATACGAAGACAAAGAGCCCCCGTATAGGCTTTTAATAGACTCTTGGAACAAGTTCTGTTAGGAACGGTCTGCATATGATAAATTAATGGTCGTTGTAGGATAGTTGAGTGGTGTTGCATTCGGTGTTTTCTATAGGATGGGTTGGGTGCTGTAGGATGCTCGGGTGCTTGAGTGATGAGTGGTAGCAGCAGGACAGGCAGGTGCCGATGTGTTTAGGTGTTTGCTATAGGATGGGTTGGGTGCTGTAGGTTGCTTGGGTACCTATGAGATATCCTGGTGGAGGTACCGTGGGTTTGTGTGTGTGTGCCTGCAGGTCGATGTTTACAAGCAGCCAGTGACAGACCCCAGCAAGTGCTCCAAGCGGGGACAGCTGTCCCTGCAGAAGACCATCGATGGGCAGCTGGTGACCGTGGAGGGCGGCAAGGGAGATCAGGACACGGTAAACGCGGTGGCAGGGCGCGGTCGGCATGCGGCCTGAGGAGTCACGGTGGCTAGGAGATGTTTACTTCCTTAGCTGGTATGCAAGAGGTCGTAGGTTCGATCCCGACCCTGACCCTTACTGTATATTTGGAGTTTGCGTGTTCTTTCTCCCCGTGGCCATGTGAATTTTTCTCCATGTCCTTCGGTTTTTTGCCTCCACATTTAGAAACATTCGTTTAGTGTTATCTGGCTGCTATAAATTCCACATGATAAGTAACTTCATTGAGCTATCATTTGTGGCCAGGTCGCTTCTGAAAAAGAGCTACATAGCTCACTGGGCCTTACTGGTAAAATTTAAATCGTTCATAGTTTAAATAATTTATAGTTTTACACGAAATGCCCCATCACGTTACTTTTTCGGAAATGCTGCAAAGCCAAGAGAGATGATGGTCTTTTTGGGATGCCTTTATCCAGGAGGAAATAGATCATGAACTGAGACTATATGCATAATAATCTAAATGTTTGGTTGTATATAGCATCCTTGTTTATACAAATTGCATCTCACAAACACTGAGGAACCACAGACAAGCTGGTAAGCAGCCAAGTGGTGAACCAGTGCCAACAATTGCCTAAGCTCTGCAGTGCCCTATATATTAAGATATTTTCAGCCAATGAATGAGGGTTTTATAGATGCGGGAGGAAACCGGAGCACCCGTAGGAAACCCAGTGCATGCGAGGGGAACATGCGGGGGTGACGAGATGAATTTTGCTGACACTTTTGGGTGTTACGTCTTCCTCGTTTGCGCAAATTCACGGATACACGAGGATGCACTCTGTGGGACCACTCGCCAGTCACTTTGGGTCGGGTCGATCACACGGATGAGCGCACATAATTGAATTCCTGCCGGCTTCTGGGTTACTCCTCATATCCGGATAATGGGCGCGAGGTGCACGTCCGGACGACAGAGTTGGATATCGTCGTGGTGGGTAATGGGAACTATCGGCCCTCGCAGTTGCCGAGCCACAAGCTCAGAAACGTAAAGCGTCCAGCAACAAACAGCGCTGTTAAAGTTGTAATAGGTGAGAGTTATCACGTGTGTTGATAAGTAGGGTTGTGAGAGCGGTGAAGGGGGGGGGGGGAGAAGATGATGGCGTGACGGAATTCAAAGGTGGAGCAGTGTGAGGGAAGAAGATGAAAGAGAAGTGAGGTGACCTGCAGTGTGGTGCTGTTGTATGTGGATGGTTTTACAATATTTATGATATTTAATTTAATTAATTCTCGCAAGCTCGTGTCTAGGAGTTTTCTTACATCAATTATATGACCACCTCCACAATTGACACCAGGTGCATAGATCTGTCCAGCAGTACAGGCCTTTTCAAGCATGAAACAGAAATAAACCACTCAGTACACGACAAATCTGAGTATTTAATAGATCAAAGTATAAACTAGTGCCATAATCACGTCAACTCTGCATCATTATACTTCTACAGTATACATCAAAACACGCGACCGACTAACGCAACTGTAGGAACCAAGACAAATATGAATGTCTAGATGTATAAGCAGCTAACGTATGAGCCCTCTAAAGAACTCCCCCTCCCCCCTTTTAGTGATGTTATTAAGTATTGTTATAAGTAGACAATATCTGTTACAAGGCAACCGCTAGATGCTCCCTCTGTGAGCGAGCACCAATATCTCCTCCGCGCAGGTGACGTTAAGGCAGCAGTCTCTCGCCATTCTTGGCTTGCAATCACTCAGACAGTCTGCAGCCGGCCATGCCTCTGCATGCACTGTCTCAAGGCTGCCAGCGAGGGTGCAGTTCGCTCCTTCGGGGTGTGCTGCACTGGAGCCACAATCGCTGATGAGGCTCGCAGACAGCTGGTCGTGCCCGCGCTGGTGTAAGTCAGATGCCCATCACCCCCCCCCCCCCCCCCCCCACGTTGTCTCCAGTGTCAGGCACGAAGGTTTCTGCACCACTCTGACCTTTCACCTCTCAGGCGATAAATCAGACTCGGTATGCCTTATATCACTCACAAATCAGAGACGAATATTTTATGCACTCGTGCAATATGTAACAATGTGCCCACGTATATGTATTGCACTCCTTAACAGATATATCAAAACCAACCCACATTTGCAACTACTGAAAAATACGCAAACCTTATGATATTGCCTTAGCCTTAACAAAATATGGGAACGCACCAGCGTTAGAACTAAAAAATGTACTCTCCAAGAACTTAACAGAATGCAGAAAATAGACTTTGTTTTTCCAATCTGGAAAAACAAAGTCTGTGCACAACAAGAAACAATTATTTTACCAGTAATTTTTCAGAACAATTATCGTTTTAACAGTCAATCCTCTTGGTGAGGTAACCCATGGGGGCCATGCCCCTTGGCATAGACTGACTTGAGAACGTTGAGTTTAATATTAGATGCCAATTTCCAAACTTGAAATCACGCCCCTTCTCATTAATATCAATTACTGTTAATGCAACTAGACCATGGGATGATGTAGAACCTAAGTCTTTAGACTCGGAGGCTGGATGTTATAACCATGTGGAGTGAGCGACTTCCGAGACACGATATGGAGAGGGCTCCTTGTTTATTTCTCACACTTACAGGCACAATCACTGAGCGACACATACATATATATGGGGCTACGCATAGCTGACCCATCCACACAGCCCCATCATTGGCATCTAACTATATAGCTGGCTGACTAATATAGCGACGACGACAATGGTAGCCGTACAGCGGATCGGCCATGCGGCCGGATGATGAAGAAGAGATTACGGCAAAAACAGCGATGGCAGCCAGGACCCGGACCCCACGACAGCCCCGAACCTTCGGTCACGTCCCCCTATATACTCCTCGGCGTGGCCAGGCCCCGCTTCCGGCCACGCCCCCTTCTAGAACCTTCAAGCAGGTTCCCGGAGCTTCCCGACTAACCCCGAATTTAACCTTTAGCCCAGGTACGCCCCCCTTATAGTTGATTATTATATAACACACCCATACCCATGATTATCCCTCCTGGTTAACAGATGGCACCCTGTCATTACACATGTGTAGTAGCGTAACGCGCAAGGTTTGCAAACAGCGGGTGCATTTGAGGGCGAGTAAGTGCAAGCGTCAAGACATGGAGTGGCCGCCAGAGAGGCGCCTGCAATTAGGGGGAGAAGCAGTAATGAAGTGGGTGCATTTGGGGACAGGCAGGTACGAGCGTGGGAACACGGGGTAGACACCATAGAGGCAGGAGATGGAGATGACAAGAGAGCACGTGCAGGAGGCACCGGTGAGGCACCAGATTAATGGGGAGTAACTGAGGACCCTTAAAGAGGAGGGTGGTATAAAGGTGTTTGCGTAGCAACTCGGGGTTGTTGGTTGGAGCTGAAGGAACGAAGAGGACAAGAGCCGGGGAAAAGAAGCCTGGGACCTCACCCTCTACACCTCGTCCCCCCCAGCGGTGTTGGCTGATCCCCCACTGGGAGCACGGACGGGGTGGAGGTGTGAGAGAAGAGTGACAGGCTAGCAGAGTATTAAGTGACAGGCTAGCGGAGTATAGAGTGACAGGCTAGCAGAGAGAGGGAGTTCGGAGCAAGGGTGCGTTGTGTTAGTGTGAGGAGCATCCATATGAGATGCGAAGTGAATACACCACTGCACATGTATGATGTTTGCTACTTCTTGTAAGTGTAGTGACTGACTCAGAGACACTAAGAGTAGGAGGCACTCTGTTTATTAGCAGCCTTAACAGTTCACACAGAGTAACTACAGCTTCCAGTCAGGGCAGCTAGCAGACTGCCTGACTGACGACGCCGAGCAGGTGAAGACGTAGACAGCGGTGAAGACTCCTGCAGCACGACGAGGGGATCCCACTCCAGGCAACAGCCCCGAGCTCCTGCTCTGGGTCCCCTTTTATCCTCCTAGCGTGGCCTCGCATCGCCCCGGCCACGCCCCCTTTCTAGAACCTAATTGCGGGTTCCCGGGCTTCCCTCACGTGCCCCTTCTGTAACCTTTCCCCTATATCCCTCTCTCTGGTCTATCACGTGACCTGCTGACAGTCATGGCTGCTGTAACTACAGATCCCCTTCCCTGCCAGCAACAATTATATGCTACCAAGTGACTGATTCTATGTCACTACACAAGGACCAACATTTTAACTAACTTATTTCTGACAAAGGGCCTATGTCCCGTGAAGTTCTCAGGTGCGATTTCACTAGACGGGAGAATGAAAGCCTCCGTTTCGAGACCATAACTCTGCTGAGAGGAATGAAGGCCCTGTTAATGAGTGCAACATATATGTCGTATAAAAGCGAGACACTTAAAGAAACTTGTGATGAACAATTCTAAATCTAATATTCATTACATATTCATTATCATAAAGGGGTACACACCGAGCAGTGAGTGGGTGGGTGGGTGGATAAGTGAGTGAGTGGGTTGTTGTCACCTGCAGTCTTGTGGTGGTTTGACACAGCGTGGTGGATGAGAATAAACCGTCAGTGTCCCATAGACCGAGATTTCAACGCACTCCTATCCTGTGCTGTACACGCCGTGCAGTGACGCCATGCAACATGCAAGGCATTATGGGAGGACCGACCCCTGTGGTCACATTCACACCTATTGCTGTCTGGAAATCACCGTTTGTGTGTGCGTGCATTCCTATTCCTCCCGGCCTCTGACCCGTCTGTCTCTCTCTCTCTGTCCGTGCCATGTGCAGGATCTGCTGAGAATCGTGTTTGAGGATGGACAGCTTCTCCGGGACTTCTCTCTCGAGGAAATCCGGGTGAACGCCGCCCTCCGAGAGGAAGATTTTTCTCCCGACCCCAACCCCGACGTCATCCTCCAATGAATAACCGTCGTCGACTCTCGGTTATCTGGGGCAACAGCGGTGGCCAGGATAAAACGACAAAAAAGAATACCCAAACTCGGGTATTGCAAAAGCGGCGTAAGGCACGTGATCTAAACAACCGTACCAGCGGGTTATCCGGGGATTGTAGCCCCGACGGAACGAAAATGCGGAGATTTGCGGAACCCGGAGATTTGCAGAACGCGAAGAGAGTGCGCGGTTGTCCGGGTCGGCCTGCGCGTCGAGAATTTCTCCCCCTCAAGCCTTCGCCACGTGGCAGCGCAGTGGCACTGCAACTCCTGCATACACCCGCCGTAATGCCCGTGGCACCCGTGGCAATGCCCGTGGTAGTGTGCTTGGCACAAGCTAGACACACGAAATGCTCAACTCGTGGATTGCAGGCAGCCGTGGCGATCAACTTGGTACGCTCATTCGAAACAAGCGATTAAGATAAGTCTCTGAAACATTTCTAGCATCGTGGTCCAAATTTCCAATTTCCAACATTTTATAAATGTACTCAATCGGTAAAAGCCAGATGAGCAACATTGGCCTGGCTATTCAAACCTAACTAAACTAAACTTTTTATTTTACCAGGTAAGCCCCACTGAACTATATAGCTGGTCACAAATTATACCTCACTCGAAGTGGCGTATCATGTGGAAATGTAAAGCAGCCAAATACCCTGAACGCACGTTAATTCTAAATTTGGAGGGAAAAACCTGAGGATCCGGAGAAAAATCCATGCGACCACGGGGAGAGAAAGAATACGCAAACTCAAAATATGAGGGCATTGTCCGGGTCGGGATTGAGCCCACGACCTTCTGCATACCAGGCGAGGTAGTTCACATCTCGCCATTTGCTGGCCGATGCTGCATCCAGCTTGCACTGCACATGGTGGACGGCTGCCACCGGGGGTTCCCCCCTCGGCTGGACTGCCACAAGATGCCTGGAGGTGTCCTGCATGGAGAGCGCGGTACAAATGCTAAGTGACGACAATGGTGATTACCCCCGTAGAAGGGGGGTGACGATGTAGAATGTGCCATCGATTAAAGTATTTGGTTTACGTGCTCCGACGTACCTGCGGTCACGAGTGCACAGAGTCACTCGCCCCTGGCAAATGAGGAGCACCTGATAAATAGAAGCGGTGCCACGCGTTGAAAAAAAAAGACTTCGCTATTTCTTCACAAACGCGGTTGATTAACCCTCAACCAGGATAACTACGGATAGTCACGAGTTAGACGTACAAAATGTGACAACGTTAACGTTTTTATTATCATAATCATGATTACGATTGCTTGTGTGTTTTAAATTTCTTTTGAAGGTATTTCCGGGAAATCTTTTTTAAAGCTCAAATGTTGCGAACCTCATTTTAATGTGCTTGTGTACGTGTGCGCCCGCACATCAATTAGCAATGCAACGCTTCATCAAAACTTCGATGGAGAGACTTGCGCTGGCGATACGTGCGGCGAATCGCTCATCCAGGAGACGGTTATTAAAAATCTTTGCAAGTTATCATCATCACGAGGGTGCTGCCGCGGTGATGCAACAGACAGCAACACTGGACTCGCAATCCAGTGGGTCAACGGTTTGATCTCCAGGCGTGGCAGTTGAAACAACGTTGCAAATTTTTTTCTTAAATTCACCCCCCCCCCCCCCCCTCTCTGCGCCTCTGTCCACCCAGTGGTATGGATATGTGCATCGTGGTCGATTGGCAGGTTACGCGTGGTGTGTGGGTCAAGTGTGTGGGTGCTCACACCTCTTTTAGATGTCTGGGCCCAATGTGGGCGAGTTGGCCAGAAACCTCCCTAGTGGAGGCCCTACGACCAACAGTGGCGTGAGCGAGCCTTGACCTTTTGCCTCTGTCTATAAGCACACAAGTTAAACGGACCTCTTATCGTTTACTTTGGAAACATGGTTTAGAGCAAAGCATCTCAGGGAAAGGAATTGCATGGAGATTATGAACTATACATACTATTAAACTTTTTTTTATTGTAAGTGTGGAGTAATTTGATTGAAATCGGCTGTACGTGTACGCACGCGCGCGCGTCGACCGACTTTGGAATCGCGCCAGGTCGGTCGGCGCTTCAACCGGGGGTCGTGCAACGCCGGAGATCGACCCAGCGACAGCTGCGGGACAAACTCGGGCTGCCCCCCCCCAACCCTCCTCCCGACATCGCGTTGCCATAATTTCAATCGGCTCAAGTTTGACTGATACTTTGGGGGTGGAGCCAGAATTGCACCGTTGCCAACACAGTAAAACGTGCAACGTTGGGCTAACGATGGCATATTCTTGCATCCGTTGGTGGAGCATAAACCGCCATTATCACGCGGGACTTCGGTCATCCTCGCAGCAGCGGATTTTTCGGCTGGCCGTCGGACAAGGACGGTCACCGCATCACGCAGCGCTTTCTGGAACGCTCTTGCAATATTAGGAAGCTACTGGAGCTGTGAAGTTTTAAATAATCTAGACTGAATACTGGTTTCTTTAGAAATGCGTTTTTGTGTTTAGTTTGTCCTTGCCTCGCACCTGCAATTGGCACGGTTGGCTACGAATGGCGCGACAAGCATTTCAACATTCATGTTTTACTGGGGATTTGGCTTCACAGGCTGGCCTGAATTTCCTACAGAGCCGGTGCCAGGCGGATGCTGAAGGGGGCCCTGCACCACCAAATGCCCCCCACCCCCCCCCCCCTGGCACAGCCAAGTTCATGTTGCTCCCTAGCGGTGAATCACTCGCTGTGATGGTGGCCCCCCACAACAGCTGTTTTACAGAACCCCCCCCCCGTGAATCTGTGAGGAGCTGGAGCCGGGCCTACGCAATGGCGGACCTAGGATTTCAGGTCGGGGGGCAACCCCTCCAGCAATGAAAAATGATAGAAGTTGTTAGTAAGTAAGGGCTTGTCCTTTGCTTTTTATTCGACGCGTGTGCAGTGATGGCGCAGCCATCGATCGAGGGTCGAATTCGAAACGTGTGTGATCGGCATCGGGCTCGCTGAAGGTGAATGCCTTCAGGGAAGTCGTGTCCTGTATACGCAACTGCGCACAATTCTGTGAGTCACTTATAACTGCTTTGCCGTTACTTATTGCCAATTATGGACTCAGACTATTGTCCTATCACCTCATAGTCCCTGGCACAATAATATGCGACACAGTGTCAGTGGGAGTCGCAAAATGCCGATGTATTACTAATAAACCCCAATGATCCGATCGAAATTAGGGATTTCGATTGGATCATTGGGGGGGCACATGCCACCCCCCCCCCCCCCCCCCCCCACCGGCTCCGCCAGTGGGCCTACGTCAGATTTCTGGCCGAGTGATGGGCACGCATCACTAGAGATGTCACGATCAAAACTGTTGTAGGTGGCTGGGATATTTAATTATGTTTAAAGAAACACGGTCTTGACCTTCGACTCGCAGACACATCTGGGAAGGCCTCGTGTGTGGCAAGTGTGTTCTGGGAGAGGCGGCTGCTCACTCCACGCGGAAACTCAAGTTGATTCGGAAAGTCGTGGAAACGCCGCCGCCCCGCGTATAAACTGACTCGGTGGGAGGGCTCCATTCCGCTCGAGTTGCCTGCCCTCGGGAACTGTTTGTGCACTAACAACGTTGCAAATCTGACCGTCACGAATCCGCCATGACCAATTGGCCACCCGCCGCCGAGTGCAGTATTTGCGGGCGCGGCGCGACCGTCGTTTCCCGTGGACGTTCGCAAATCTGACCCCTTCCCGTTCACCAAATGCATTATTAACCCCACGTACGTTCTTCGCGAAGCGTCCCGCCAGGGGTTAAAGCAGGTTTGCACTTTACTTGTGTCCCGTGACCCTGTGGCCGTCATTTTTTTAGCGATTGTTTCACACATCCGATCTTTTGACACGTCGACCTATACCGCGTAGGAGCGGTGGCGCAGCGGTTTGCACACCACGCGCTACGAGTCCAACAAACCCGAGTCCGATTCCCCCGTGCCGCCCAACGCCCGTGGCGAGCGCTATCTGATGCTGCCCTTTCTCCCTCCTCCTAGGTCGTTTCGGCCCTTGCTGAGTCCCGGAGGCGATGCGTGAACATCGGCACCGGGGCTACGCATGTGGGCGGTGTGCGACGCTGGCACTCGCCGGCCCCATCGTGTGAGCTCTTCTGGGCTCTCGATAGGCGCTCGTTAATTCAGAATCAGAATATTTGTACGGGAGGAATCCGATGAGCTTTTTCCACAGATGTCCAGATGGGGCGAGTACGAACGTGACAACGACAAACAATTACAAAAAAAACCATGATAGTCGTGCAAAGTACAAGCAGAGTTAACAAATCACCCAAACACATACAAATATAATTAAACCGTCCCCATCACACCAGGCAAAGCCCACTGAGGTATTCACTTGTGTTTCAGAAGCGACCTGGCGACAAACGATAGCTCAACAAAGCGGCCCCATTATTTGGGCATTTATAGCTGTCTTGCCTCACGGCAAATATGGAGCGTACGGTCACAGGAAGTTCCTGTTTTTTTATGCTAATGTTGGTCACGTGACCAGGAAGTGACGATGTTAGATTTCCACTGTACCACGCAGGTGTCAGCCATTACACAGATAAGTCAAGATGGCGGCACGCATCACATCTCAGTGAGACCACGGCCGCACTTGTCCATTGTGGGAGCTTAAGAAGCATTATCTGTAAGTTGTTTATATTCCTATAATATTGGAAATGCTGTTGTAATGTTGGAATGACCGTTATAGCAATGTAAATGCCTTTATGGTGCCGTTAAGTTGTTGTAGTAAATACGAGGCCTAGTTAGTAAAGAAGCCTGTGACTTTCCTTATTGTGGATGTTACTTGTGATTTAGTAGGTCGAGTCAGACTTGTGCCTATGTTGCGATCCTGAGAGTGATGACGAAGTATCTCATCCACAGTTTAGTGTTAAGTGTAATGCTGTACATTTGGGGTGCAGTGGGATGATTACACTGTGTGCCTGTATGCAACGCACCAGCTTGTGCCTTTGTCTAGTTGTTCAGGGGTAATGTGGGGGCCTGGTCCTTCCAGGATCTATTGTTATCTGAGACAATGTTCTGATGCTGTGGTGTTCATTGTGTGGGTGTTTCCGAATTATAACAGATGCTGTATCTGTGTTTTCTCACCAGTTTTACCTGTTACAATCAATAAATGATGATCGGAGTTGGACGGTCATCCTGGCTCCGAGGGTTTATTGAACACATGGTTATCTACTCGACTAGCGGTGCAACGCAGCGCACAGCGAGGCCGAGATAATAGCAGCAACATCGAAATAACCTCAATGCATACTCTTTGGTTATTTCGCTAAAGCCACGTTCTACCTACGTGACTTTACCGAAAGAACCAAAGAGTATGGATTCCTGCAGTCACGAAAGCTTCAAATCAAGATTCATCTCAATGCATGTTGCTGGATGTGGAGGGAAACCCCGGAAGACCCAGAGAAAAAACAAAATCCAGGTGACCACGGGTGAAGAGACACGCAAATATACATCTCCTAGCCACCGTGGCGCCCCTTTAATAAATAAACAGACGACGCCGCTTGGCCCTGACAATGTGTCCGCATGGAACCTTTTGTGTAAGGTGTGTGATAAAACGCAGCAGGTTGTCCGAGTGGGGAGCACAGGTGGGCCATCCACTGATCGCGCATGGCAAGGGAGGACAGAGAAGGTGGAGGGGACCCTGGCTGGCCGTGGTAACTTTGGCGACGAGTGTAGAGTTCGTAATTTGTAACGACTTGGCTCATTACCCTCGTGTCAAACTACGGTCGACGATTCGTCCTGTAGACTTATTTTCATATAAAAAATACGAAATAAATGTCTGAGTTTTGTTCGTCTTTATTATTTTATATATATAAATGTTATAAATCTCGTTTTCATTGTGCGTTGTTATGGTTGTGACGCTGCACAGACAAACCTCTGTGCTAACCCGCGGTCTTGTGACCTGTAATCCCCATCCAAAACATATACAGGGACTCCTCGACATACGAACGAGTTAGGTTACATAAGTCTGTCCGTAAGTCCATTTGTTCGTATGTCCATGTTTTACTCCTGTAGATTCCCAACATATATACGGCATGTACACTAAACACGGGGAATAGCTTTAACAGTTGTATAATCTCCTGTAGATGTAGATGCCACTCACTCTTTATGTTCTGCAGATGGAGATGCTAGTTCCCTTTGGTTGCTCGTATTTCCTCTCTACTCTCTTGAAAAAAATTATCAAGAGATGTCTGTACAGTTGCTCTATTCTTCTCTTCATAAATCCGCTTGTAACAGGCAATAGCATCTTGAACAGCTGCAACTGGGCACACGGACAGGTTGTTCGTATCTCTGAAAGTTCCTAAGTCGATTTGTTTGTAAATAGAGGAGTCCCTTACAGTATACATCCACGTGATAGATTTGCTCTATTCCAGGCATCTGTCTCTGCTGCTCGTGCATATATTTGCGAATGTATTATTTAGCGATGCAATGGCTTGATTGATCTATCGTTCACATCACCATCAGTCATCAACTCAGCTACCCCCCCCCCCCCCCCCCCCCGTGGACTGCATTCGCCAAAGATGATCATGCGGAAAAATCGGCGGTCGGGGTTTCTGCTGTCTCTCACGCCAACGCTAGGTGGAGACACGTCCACCCACCTCTGGCTGACTGCAGACTTTGACGGAATCGTCGTCATTGCTGTGAACCGTACAAACAAAAATGTAACGCGCGGTTGGTTTTGAAGTTTAACGCCTGCCGTGCAAGCAAAAGGAGTGACGTGGACTTCATTTCGGACGTTAAAATTAAAAGTCTCTTCGCGTTGTAAACATCCTCAATTAATGATTGCTGCCCCTGACTGATTGGTGGGGCCTGTGTCTCGCATTCGACTGAGGGCTGTCGCACCCGCAGCGAGTGGAGTTCAGTGCCTCTGATGAGTGAGCAGCCAGTCCTGTGGGCGGGGTGAAACCTCCCACGTGACCCCTCGTCAGACATTCACCAACTCACCTGACCCTCACCACTCATCAACTCACCTGACCCTCACCACCCAGCAACTCACCTGACCCTCACCACCCACCAACTCACCTGACCCTCACCACTCACCAGTCATTTCATCCTCGCCAGCGTGGCGCCCCTATGCTACTCGCAGGGCCTCACGGACAGGTCCATGAACCTACTTGCTCTACTGCCACCTCCTGGCCACCTCATAGCCACGTAAGTTTGGAGTTTGTTTGATTTCATCATCTGGAGGTGATCCACCAACCCCTGCTTTCAACGTGCTGAGCAGCAGGCGTGGTGGGTGAAGCACGTGTCATTCAAAACCCGTAGGTGGGGGTTGGTGCGTGAGACACCCACCGACATGCAGAGCAACGAGATGTTCCGTG